AAGAACTTCAAGAGATTGTCATCGGCTGACTTTGTGACTGTAATTTATGCGTGAATTAATATGCTACTTTGTTTCGTTTCTCTTCGATAATGTAGTATGTATTATTTCCCTTGAATTAAATATTCTTTTATAATTATTGTCTCGTGAATGCAATGCGCGCACGCTCTCGATTTTTGCTCGCACATTTACTTGACACAACTGAACTAATTTAACCAAACGGTTTTGCTCACCGCATACTCTCATTCCATCCGCCACGTATTTTCGATTCATCAATGAAATGTTACCAAGTGAAATATTGCGACCAGGTGTTTTCAATATAAATCAAGAGCAGCATTATTTAAATCATCTTTGTTTTCTTTTATCTTGACGAAACGAATCTGTAAGGTGAATTAGGCGCATCAACATCATAAACATTGTATACACATGAAAATGAAAAGTAATTATTTGAGATGTTTCATGTAAATTTCTAGTTAGATTTATTGGTTCGAAAATTTAAGAACGAACTGGTGTATGAAGGTTGGAAGATGAGGGAGAGTAAACGAAGATTTTGGTACTTGACGATTGTAAGAATTTTCAATGATTTTCATCAAAGCGAAGTAATGAGTTAATATTTAAGTTGGGAACATGAATTAATTCTTATAATTTTAATGTCTTTAAGACCTAATACTTGTCACATACAATATTATCCATATTCAGATATGACATCGTACAAGAAACACTCTGCTCTGTTACTTTTGTCATTTTTCTACCTCTCCCATACACTTCTCGGTGTGTCTATCGCTTTCTTCATCTTTCTCTCTTCCTCTCATCCACTTGATTTTATTGTTTCACCCTCAAATGGCGAACGAGACCGAAGATAAATAAACAAAGGTTCATTGCATGACATCGAAAAATATTCTTTATGTCTCTGTCTATCAATTGAGTGTGTCTTTGTCACGACCGACGGAACCATATGTTCATAATGGAAATCTATTATAAATAATGTATGAAAACAAAGGGGAAAAAATAGCATCGGAACGCTCACATCGACTTGCACTTTGTCTTGATTATTGAGTATACAGCTGATGCATGATGCACACCGAGAAAGTATCATTTCGAGTGTATACACTTAACATGCATTAATCATATGGTGTCGAGTTGCCGTTGCTACTGATGGTACTCCTGCATGTGTATGTGTGAACATGACACAATACCATCTTCATTTTTTTTGTTTTTGTTTTAGATGGAATGTATATTGGAAATTTCAGCGGTTAACTGTTGATTGTATTTTAGTTTCATATACGTGTGCTAAATGCGTGTGACTTTCATCTATTTATCAAATCAATTTGTAAAATTTATTTAAAAGATTACATTTTCGGAATCCACAGTCAAATTCCTATAAATCATTTTTAAGATTGGTCTTCAAGATTGAATTTTTTTCATTTAATGAAACCTTTTACGTCAAACGCGTCCAAATAGTTATCCGTGCTTAATGTAAATGTTGATTTGTGGCGTCAAACTAGGCGAAAATGTTGTTCATCAAAACAAATTGTTTGAAAGTGAAATGTGAAGTGATGCGTGCCAACAGCACAACTTAATTGAAATTTTCTAAAAATGAACATGATCATGAAGAGCCAGCGTGGAATGCAAACTATTCCAAATGACAACAGAAAAAAGAAAGAAGAGATAGAGAGAGAGAGAAGGAAAGAAAGCGAATAAAACGAAACATAAGAACATCTTTTTGCTGTGTTGGGTGATTTATCAGCTGATTTTTGCGATAAGATATTTAAAAGCGATATCTGTTGGGGCTCAGTCAACAAAGAGAGAGCGAGCGAATAAAAAAACGCACACACTTGAAATGTACACAAATTGAATATGTGAGCCGCAAGATATTCCAAAAAGAGAACAAACACTGTGTCTCTATTTTTATAATATTATTTTTATCAGGACTATTTTAAGACGGTGTACCATCCTACTCAAATACAAATCAATTCTGAAAATGCCATATTAATAAAATCCATTTGTGCGAAAGCGGGCGTTTTATTGCAATATCTTCATTATGCATCGTCTTCTGCATTAGTTGTAAAACTCGTGCAATGTGAAAATTTAATGCCACACCGCCTGTTAAAATGTTGTCGCTTTTTCGTTCATTCTTCGTTTCCCATTTAGTTTTTGATTAAACGCATCAGCATGATAAATCACACAATGCATTCTATAAATAAATTCAAAGAATGGAAATTTTTAATGCAATAATTTGGTCGGTAAAAATCGTTGGCGTAATCGTCAATGAGATGAAAAGTTGGTATTTTTTTCTTTGGTAAATTATTTTATCAGAAATGCGTGAGCGAATAACTGTGTTCTATTTGATTAAATTTGCAATGTTTCGTTACTTCCCTTCGGGGTTCAAACTGCCAAGCCGATACATATTGAAGGAACCCGATACGAAGCAGTAAAAAATAGACGAACGAATTACAAAGAAATAAAATGTCCGGATTTTTAAATACTCTTCTGCAATGTGAATGACATAAATTGTGCGTGCACACTATTTTGGTTTCCATTATAAATATTAGTCCATTCGACTAGCAACAAAATTGTAAGTTGTGTAAATGTTTGCTCACAGACATGAGATTTTGTTGCTATTTGTGTTGTTGTTGTTTTTGCGTGCCGTTGACTACACGAACGGCTATCACTATCACTAGTGAGTAATATTACGTGCCATATGTATCGTCGCCAATACACCATACCCATATTCTTTAGGCTTCTTATGACATACGATTCACACATATGCATATATTGTATACACTCAATGACCACTTTGTTTCGCCCAATTTATTCCATTTCTTATATGCATAAAATACAAGGAACACCAGAAAGGGAACACCATACACAAATACTATCGACAACATCCTACACATTATACACTCTCTTTGCCTCTCTTTCTCTCTCTCTTTCTCCGGCCTCCATCTCCACTCTTACATACGGTCACAATTAACCTCATACTCTGATCCGACTACATTTATATACTAATATAACACATTAGAGGACATAAATAGAAAATTAAAGAGAATGGCGAACACAAATTGAATTAAAATTCGCGCGATTAGAAAAGCACAACTCGCACACGCGCTTATCCGATTTGCGAATGGTTCAAGTATAGTGAAGAACTTGAAATTGTTGTGTGAATGCTAGAACCAAAAAAAAAAACTTCAACACACACACTCACGCTCACAAAACGATCCTCAATCGATATTATGACTCTTTTTGAAACTATAGTTATATCATAATGATTTGCACTTATATTTCAGCTAATTTGATGGAGAATCTTTATCTCGACAAATTTAATTTAAGGTCAAATAAGTGCGATTAGTTTAGCTTTCATCAAAGTTCAGATCACCAATAAAAATTGTTAGCAAACAAAAAAAAAAACCAACAACTGCCAACAACGCAAAAATATCTTAAACAACGCTATTAAAATCAAAACATGTTTCTCAACACTCCTTTTTTTTCTTTCAATAAAACAAAAAAAATTCAAACGATGAGCGATACCGATTTGCATGTGCCCACGAAATCACACACATCTGTTACGACAACAGTGTTGATTGTGATTTTATGCTTTGAAAGAACTTGCCTTTCTGTTCTGCTGATAACATATGATACTTGATATCTAACTGATTCTTTAAATCACATCGGAATGAACTCAGTCACTCTCTCGGTCATTTTCTCTCTTTCTTCTCTTATCTCTGTCTGTCTCCCAACGGCGATCTTTTTCTATATTATTTTTCATTTCATTTTTGCCCGCGTCTGACTCAATTCTCATTGCGGCCAAACAATTGGGTGCGATTTAGTCGTTCTTTTTTTCGGACGAAATTATTGAGTTGAACCAAACTATAAGCGAATAAAAAAAGCAAAGCAAAAGTGTTATCAGTTCCACTAACACATTTGGCTTGGCATGAATGAAGCCGGATGAAAAGGATTTGAAGCTCATACATTCAATCAGCTGTTCTAGTGAGAATTTAAAAAAAAACGCGACATACGAAAATGCATTCATTGTCTGATGTGCTGGTTGAAATCTCTTCGCATGTAAGATGCTAATCCAAACTGAATTGCATCGTATTTAGTGCATATTTAAAATGAAAAGACACACAGAGAGAAAGAAAAATTAACAAATGAGAATATTCATAAAAAAATGCACAAAATATGGTGAGAGCGCCCGTATTTGTGCAAATCGAGCCCTTTTTGAACAATGAAAAAAATGATATATTTTCTAATTGTTATTATTATTGTATCGCCCATCGGTTTTTCTATTCAACCATGCAATTTCGATCATCTGCGCGAGAGCTGTTGTACAAAAGGCAGGCTGAGAATCATTACAGAAAGACAGAGAAAGAAAATAGAAGAGAAAATACAACACACAAATTTAATACACTAAGTATGAAATGTGTATGAGTTCATTTTTTGCTCGATTGTGTGTTTGTCGTCGTTGGTGTTGTTGTTGTTGTTGTTGTCGCTATCTTGGTGCTTTTTGAGTGGTGTGTGTCGAGTTATTGTATGTGGTTCTCTTATACGCACACAATCATCCAAATCGTGCAGTCTCTGTCTGTCATATGTTGCGAGAAAGACCGACCGAAGGCGCATTTATTACAGAAATACAAAAATATTGTACATTTGTTATTTTGCCCGTATGAAAACGGCCATCGATGTGGATTTCTCTGTGGTTGCTCTCTTTCATTTTCTCTTTCTCTCTCTCCCTCTCTGTCTCTTTTATTTTTCTTGGTGGCATATATGCACATATGTGCGTGTCAGTGTGTGAGTATATTTGAACATGTAACAGCAATACGCACTCACACATTATAATAAATGAAACACTTTTTAGATGTTTAACGAAACACTTTTTAGGTATTTCGTGGGAAAAGTATTTCGTAAAATCGAATTGATGTGTGGTAGTGTGTCTCTTAACTTTCGAACCCGACGAAGGGAAGAAGAAGAAAAAACATGATTCTGGCATTCAGACTATTATTAACAGTTGTACTGGAGAAGTCAACTCATACGGACTGCTCATGTTTTACACACTTTTTTAATTTTTAATTATTAACATTAGTTCTTCTGTTTTTTAATTTGTTCAATACTTTTTTTTCGGAGGGATTTTTGAAGCACGCCAAATACGATACAAAAACTTTTTGTTGCTATCACAGAATCGAAATTATTATTATTTTTTTTTTTTCGTTGCATAAAAACCGAAATCAGTTTTAATTTAAGAGAAATTATTTTTTTTTGATGTTCAACGATAACGCCGGACAATTAAACAATTCGTTTGAATACCCTGGCCGCAAGACAAAAAAGTCGACAGACAATCTTCATATGTAATCCCGTTTTCAATCATATGTTCAGAAACGGAAAAACAAAAAAAAATATTGCAACGGAATGCACTGCGAAATATAACGATATAGCTTCGGCGCTACTGTTGTTTTTTTAATTCAACGTATTGTTTGTTTGTCTTCAGCGCGTTGTTCAGTGTTTTGGTGTTCAAATGTCGGCATATGTTACATTATAAGAATTTTTGGGTGATTTATTTTCCGTTCAGTTAGTTTTATAGTGTGATTTCTAGTTCGTTCCCGAATTTTCTTTTACATTCGTATATTCGAGAGTAAAGCAAATCAAATATAATCATTAAATGATCATTTACTGTGAGTGTGATAAATATATAATATATTATTTGTTTTGTAGTTTTTTATATAAATATTTTGGTTTTTTTTTTTTGCTTTTTGTCTGGCCTCGGGCAAACAACTTTTTGTTTTTATCTTATTTTTTTTCTTTTTTGTTGTGCATTTGTGTTTATCGTAGAAAGAGAAGAATCTCTTCAATTTCCAATCATTATAACTTCTCTTTCCTTTACATAGTAAGAGAGAGATAATTTCAAATAAAATCCAAAATCGAACACAACAAAACAGAATAAAACAAAGAATGTTGAAGAAAAATTCATAGATACGTTATAACATAACATAACGTATAAACAAAACGAAAATAGAAAGAAGATAAAAACAAAAACAAACATTCAGGCAAAATGTTTAAAGTTCAAAAACATTTCCGAATGCAATACCGATCGATTGTGATCGGTTTCGATGTGAAACAAGTGTACAACAGTTGCAAACAAGAGGCTTGATTGAAATTCGCCGACTCGATGTTGCATCGAATTGAGTGAATAGAAGAGAAAAAAAGATGTGATGACAGTTTTCTCTGCATATATTTTATGTTAACGTTTTTTTTTTTTAAATTTCGGTTAAATTTTGAATGCGCTGACAATTGCTCGAAGTTCGATATTCTCGAGTCGATGGATTTCATCTAGTTTGCCCAAAATATGCGTACACTTTGATTGATACCAAAAAGCCACAATATGCACTGAATAAAAAGCAAGACGAAAAAAAAATCACACAATAACTACAATAAAAATATACTCCATCCAATACTCATACGGCATTTTTATTATGGCCTCTTTTTTTGAACCATTCTCAAAAATAGTTTGGATAAATACACGGAACTGTGAACAAAAAAGCCGAATCAACATTGCCAATCTCAGTATCGTCAACGAATCGAGTTTGAGTACCATCGCCGGCTGCAATACAACAATAACAACAGCAAACAATTTTCGATACTACATCGATATTGCTGAAAAAACTATTGAAAAAGTGTTAATTGAACGCCAATATCGTTTGTGCCATTCGAAAAAACTTTATTGCATTCTACTTTACTATGAGCCACATTTATTTTGTGCATTATTCGATTGTATCGACGATGTGCCGCGTGAAAAACAATTTGAAAATGTAATGCCCATTGTTGTATGTCGACAAGAACGAAGGCAACGATCACGAAGACGACGACGACGAAGGCATTTGAACTCGTTTTGCGATAATTTTAAAATAATTTAGAAAACAAAATCGAATAAAATACGTTTGCTTTTAAAGTACGTCGATATACATACACACAGAATTATGTACAATTGAATAGAGAGGAAAAGAAAAAGAAAACAGACAGACGAACAAATCAGAGACCAATACTGAACAAAACGAAAATCATCGGTCAACGATCTGAAGAAGTGCTTTCGCATATTTAATTTCAACGAAAACAAAACGAAAAAAAACTATCAGCAACGGAAAAAAAGAAAGTGCGTGCCGAAAAAATCCGCTCACAAGAGAAAAATAATTTGTTGAAACTTTTATTTGAAAGGACAACAGCCCATAGAGTTCTTTTAAACACAATCAGCTAATGTACTCTCTGCCTTAGCGAAAATTACAATTTTCATTTCTTATTCAACACTCGTCTTTACTCTGCCGAATCAAATATTAAGGTTCGTTTTATTTTATTTGTTTTTTCTTTTACTTATTAATTAGTCGAATTCTTTTTATATATGTTTCGAATTATTATTCATTTCCCAAGTCACCATCCAAATCGAATTAATCATTATGATCACAAAAAATCTTACTCGACTTAAAAAAGATTATCATATCAATTTTTTTGTAATTAAACAACTAAAAATTGAATAAGAAAATTGCGAAAACTCCATTTGTCATATATTTGAATCGAATCGAATATTCCCTGATTTGAAATTTGATTTTTATTCAAACTCCATAATTAAGAACTCTCGGTTCAAGGCTTATTTCACTTTATTTTGTATGTTATTAATCAATTTAATTTGGGTAATTTCCCGCAAAGGATGTTGAATGAAAAATCAATAGAGAAAATGTGACTCGTTAATTACAACTGTTGCCCAATGAATTGCAAATACCCTTGGTAAATTTGTTCAGAGACGTTGATTATACGGAATAACCAACGACAGTTAATGCTGTGTTTATAACAAATCGTATCGATAGTATACGTTTGACAAAATACTTTTAACAAAAACCTTTTTCTATTGTTGGTTTATTTTTTTTTTGCTATCGAATTTTCCTTTTATAATTTTTATATGTTAGTCGATAGCCCGGCATGTTTATTTAATCGCTGAAATCACTTAGCATAATATGAAGCTGTAAAATATGTACTTAAATGGTGCTTGTTTCTCTTAAAAACTTCAATATCCAATAATTTGACACAGCTTGACTTTTGTGTGCAACCATTGACATACATAGATATTTTTAACTTTCCGTTTTCTTTACATAATTTACTTATGAAACAGGATACTGTTTTCAAACTGAACAAAGGTCAACAAAATATGCAAACACCGCCTGAACACACAAAAATATATCTTTGAAACGCCACAATAATACTAACCTTAATTGACGTATAACGAAAAAAAAAACATGAACCAAATCCATGTAATACGGCTACTCATTGCTCAAATAGATTTGGCTCCCAGCAGAAAGAAATGAGAAAAAATCCTTGGTTACTGAAAATGTATTTCAAAAAACATATAATATGTATTAAGTATATTTTGATAAAGAAGCAAATCTGAAATATGGCCAACAACAGTTAATCAGTCAACACACGCTTATTATTTAGAAAAAAAATCTGATGTAAAATAAAGCGGGCACGTTAAAACATGATGAAAAAACAACGAAATAGCCGTCATGGTAATGATTTATTTTTGAATTCTGTCTAAATCAAAGCATTAAATGCTAACATCATTGTACGCATGTATACATGATTCTAATCAGCAAATAGGAGTTTCTAAGGTGACGTATATTCTTCCAAATCACATTTACTCATACAATCAAATTAAGAGGCGACCAGAAGAAGAAATATTGTGAGATGCATGTCACAGACTATCTTTGAAAGACAAAATGTTGGAGCATATGAGCTGCTCGATTTTCGCAAATATATGTATGGTTTAAATGCATTTGTGACGTGTTCATCGATTTGAACATATCTATTCATTGCATTTATGATTGCGTAAATTCGTTTGGATAGTTACCCTTCCATGAATAGAAAAAAAAAAAATGCCATTGGCCAAATTTCGATCTATGATTTAAACGAAAATGAAGCAAAGAAAAGCGTATATTTTTGTTTTACCATATTGGTCAGAGCACATTCCAATCATCAGACATAAAAATTAAATTTGACGCCAGTCGAATGTACTGTCATCGATCGTGCACAAAAGGCACTTAACAACAATGCATAGAGTGTCATTTATTCTAAATTGATTCAGTAATTACAAATACTGGGTGCAAAGAGTCTCCCGCATCGAAAGAGACAGAGACCGATGTTCACATCAAATGGAAATACAATCAAGTTAGCAGAATTCAATTTAGTTGATTCATAAAATGCTTCTCTGGCCAGATTCAAATACTTGTGCATTCAATGGACATGAAACGGTCCTTCTGTCTCCCTTTAGCTTTTCTTTCACTCTGATATGCATATATGAAAGTAATAAGTCGGAAGTGACGCGGCATGATGCAGAGCGGCGTTCACACTTTGCACAAAGTGCAACTCAATGAATTGTATCATTTGGCTTTTATTATTATTATATAACGAAATTGTATGGGAAAAGATGCGTGCGACATACAATTATACCGATTGTCTGCATTCTCTTTCGCACTTGAGAGAATTGTTGTACTTTGTCATTTGAAGCATTTATCGGGTTCAAAGTCTCAACTTCCAAGTAATGCGCCTACTTATGCAGCAATCATATATTCATTCTATTGGTATAATTGATATATTTGGTTGACAATTGTTTGAAAATTGATAAAACTGATTTCAGATTCTCTTTCTAACCCATGCACATACGCACACCGTTTTTTACTTCTAAAGAAGTTCATCCGACTGACTTTGATCGATGAATCCATTTTTGAAAACACAAACAAAAAAAACTATTCATATTCGCCGGCCCGCCGAAAATATAATTTATGTAATTTAAAATTGATTTAAAAATCAGAATCGAACAATAATTCCTTGAAAGAACCAAATCGAGAAGTTCAAAATGACAAAAGTCAAGAGATGAAACAAAAAATTATTTTCAATTCGTTTGGTTTAGCAATCATTTTTTGCGCTCTTGACTCGTTTGGGTCACTTCATTCAGCCGACTTCAATAATTGAACTTCAATTTGATTAATTTTGTTTAAATATTGATGAAAGTCTGTGAATCAAGTAGAAGATCTACCGGCACATTATATTATAAAAGCCAACAAATAATAAATGTAAAAATAGATACACTACCACTCTTTGGCCTTAAGGCTTAATGTGAAGCGTGTTCAAATGAAATTGAAATTTTGAAGGTTAATAATCTCTAGCCATCAAACATTCCAAAAACCCCATAATTTATAAACCATGCAAAATGTAATTTTGTAAGCAATCCAAAACAGAATATATTTAGCCTAATATCCATATGCTTGATGAAATCAGATACGTTTCACATTAAGCAAAACTAGAATAGAAATTTATGATTGCAATCGATTCAGTTTTATTTAACGGCTTTAATTCATACAGACACACACTTCTATTCTATATTAGTCGCTTTAAGTATCAATTTGTTTCAATATTGCCGGGCAATAGATTGATACATGTGACTATAACGTCACCTTTGACCTCAATATTCTTTTTTTTGTCTTCAATACTACACGGACATGGATAGACTTTATACAGTGAGTGTAACCGGCTGGTTGCCGCCTGACAACCTCAAATTAGAAAAAAAACTGCTACAATCTTATTTCGTGGTCACAAACTAGTGTGTGTAGTGATAGCAAAACTACTGTCTCTCAGTTTCATTTATTCTCTTCATTTTTTTGTTTGCCATTCATTTAAATTAGAACTCATAAATTTATAATTTCTTCGAATGCGTCAATTTTCTTTAATACTCCTTCACATTGTGCCACTTGAAATTCATAATTCAAAATGAATCAATTCATATCGACGTGAAAAGTAGCTAATGGAAGTTAAGTAACTTTTTCATGGAGAAAAAAAGAAATAAAAAAACAATCGATCGTAGTGTGTGTTCTATCGTCGGATATAAAGGATAACGACAATAGAAATGAATATTGTTAAATACTTTTCGGATTTAAATGAAAAATCGTAAAATCACAGAATTTCCGGTTGATGATGTGCGCATCAAATGCATTTTGTTTATATTTGCACATTGTCACATTTGTTTTGACATTAAAATGCCAATTGTGACAAAAACAAAAACAACAAAGCGATAAATCTCAAAGAAATAAATAAATTTGAAAATAAAAATGGATTCCGATTGAACTGAGCCAGTTGGGCGAACAAAAGTAATTGAACGATTAATTTCTTTTTCTCAAATATTATTTATTTGCGGCTCTCTAAAACTATGTTCGCTTTTCATGTTCTCTTGTTCCGTACAAAATCGCCGTTTTAATCGCACTTTTTGTGTGTTATGAAATCGGTGTTATTAGGTTGAAAGCGAATAGTTTTTTTTTTTTTTTTTTTAATTTCGATATTCAACTGCCAGACATAGGCATTTTCAATGTAAGAGACTGGTAAAAATGATGACGAAAATAAGAAAGAAGGAGAGAAAAATCGGTCATTTGTGTGATTCGTCATTTTGTGTGGACGAGTTCATGTCGATTGTCAAATGTGACGGGGCACGACAATTGACAGGCGTGTGTGTGCCTTGATTTTGTGAACAGCAAAATCTATACTGTAAATATGTAAATAAAATGAACAAAAAAGAACGCATACAAATCTGCTGTTTACCAGGGAAATCTCTCTCTCTCTTCCTCTCTCTTCCGCAGCGATCCCATTAAAACGAGTGATTGAAAGCCATTTAATTAGATTTAGAACACATTGTGTATTTTTATAATTCTTATCTTAATCTCAAATGAAATGGGCTATTTATAATGGCGCATATGAAAACAAGAATGTTCATTGCGTTTTATGAACTAATAAACAACACACATTACATGCATATAATCGTTAATTTTACAAATTCATTGAGCTGTCATTTTTCGACATTGCTGCACACGCGTGTGTGCTCATAAAATAAAGAACAAACAACGAAAAGAGCATCAACACAATTTTCCCATTTCTTCATTTGCAAAGAGCTTTTCTTCTTCTTCTTTCATTATTACATACTCTGTGTATCGAATCCAAGATCCTCAAAAATATATGTTGAATTCGGATTCGTGTGTGTGTGTGTTTTTGTTTTGTTCAAATCTGGTTGTTTTGTTGAACTGTGCTACTCGCTCTTTTTTCAAATGCATTTTTCACCAATAACATTTTTGGTTGACGATTGTGTTGTTATTTTTCTTTCGTCATTATTTTGCGTCAAATTACTGGTTGCGTGTGATTAATGTTTTGAAAGTGGGCGCTAATGCGGTTATGAGAGTGCTTTACAGCTTGTCACTGGTTCGAGCGCGCTCACACATTCTAATCGCTTTACGCATTTTTTTTTAATTTTGTGCACGTGCTTACGAAATGATATTCGTGACACAGAGAGCCAACAACGACGATTTATTATATGTATGACAGTGGTCACTTCCTTGTAATCAATTCAAATGAACATTCAAAAATGAACTTATTTTCAAAAGGAAAATAGCAAGCGTTGGGTTAAGGCTAAAGCTTCATTTTCTCTTTTTTGTCTCTTTCGCTGCTTCATATTTTCTAATTCGTAAATCATCTTATGTCCATTTTTTCATCGAAAGATTTAATCTCTCTATCTCTATCTCTATCTCAAAACAACAGCAAAAAATTTGTTGAATTTCAATTTTTGCACATTTATTTACTTATTTTTGTTTTGAAATTTGCACAAATACATACTACAACTAATTCATATTGTTTTCTTTTTATTTTATTCTTTTAACAGATGGCTTCATTATTCAAATTGATGATCGTACAGGTCCTAATTTGCTTAGAAATCTCGCTGTTTTTCACATCGACCATGGCCAACACCGATTTTTCGGAGGGTTTTGGTAGAGGATCAACGAAAAAATTATGTGGTCGAATGTTGGTTGATGCATTGGCGTTGATATGTAACAATGAATACGAAACAATAATTCATCCAAGCAAACGATCAGGTAAGCATCAATTTTCATCATTTTACTTAGAATGTGTGTAAAATTAATATTAGAGAATAATTGTTGGTTTATTTCTGGAAGAATACTCTTTCTATATTCTTAAAGAGAATAGTGACCAAATTGATTTAAAGTATTATTTAGGATATTCATATGGACAATATCAAATTTATAGTTTTTTTGTTTTTTTTTGTTTTAGATGAATTGTTTGAAGAGTATTATAGTGATCAGCCATCACCGTTAATCGATGATTTGCCCGTGAATTATCAGACATATGCTTATCTGTCAAAATTAGTGCCAGATGCTCCCGAGCTAAGATCTCGGGTGCGTCGTGAGTGGGTTGCTCGTCGTGGTGTCTATGACGAATGCTGTCGCAAACCGTGCACAGTCCAAGAGTTAAAAAGCTATTGCAGACAGAAAAATTAAACAAACATTTTCATGCCACCACAAATACCACCACTACCACTACAACTACTACAACAATCAAAAAACGCATATACACTTTCACATACTATACCATTTGTGCTATCTTTCACTCATCATTTTTTATGAATTCCCAATAAGAATTTCTTTGAATTTCATCCACAAAAAAATCGGTTCCAAAGGCGTAAACCTTTTTAAAAATTGCATACATGAAAAAAACAAAGAAAGAAAACAAGCAAAACCTTTACATATGAAACAAAGGTGTGTGAGTTAACCTATTATGTAAAACTGATAACGGAATCAAAAACCTTAAAAACATTCATTATAATCTTGCAACAACAAGTTAAAAAAAAACCAACAAAAAATGTGCTAACAAATAATAAATATTCAATAATGCTACAGTAGCTCCTGTGAAAAAAAAAACACAACTTTTGCCATTTATTTAAAACAAAACAAAAATTGTCAAATTTATAGCTTTTATATCTTTTTATTTAAAAGTCGAGATGATGTTTGATACATAGCGTAACTTTAGTTCTATAGAACGAGACAGGGAGAGCCGATCGGATTTTCTATATGCGCATATTTTCGATATAAAATCACAAACACACCAATAACCATTTCTACACACACATATATATACACACCTCTTTAGTTAATTTAGAAAATTTGCACGATCGATTGCGAATGAGAGATTGTTGAACAAAAAATAAAACAAGGAGGAAATAAACATCTCGAAAATAATCGGAACACATGAAAAGAAATGTATTCCACTCAAAACATACGTATTTAGAGAGGTGAAAAGAGAAACCTAAGCAGTATACGAATTTCAAAGAAGCATTTCAAAATCTGAAATTGGAACAACTGAAAATAAACTAAAAACTCATACGCAAAAACTGAACCGATATTCACAATAGAACCAAAAATATAAGTGGATGATGATTTTTATGGGAAAGATTTGTTAGTATTTTTTGTCTTCATTTTTGTGTGATTTTTTTTTTCAATAATAGTTTCCATTACACGGTTTTATCATTTCGGTCATTAAAATTGGTTTTGTTTTTTTTTCTTTAAAAAAAAAATCTTATTTGAATGTATTTTGATAATTTGATGTTAATTCCTTTTTCTTACTAATTCATGATTGAAGGGAGAATCTCATTGCTTATAATTTTAATACCACCAATTTTCTTTTATTCTATTGTTTTAATTTTTTTCTCGTAAGTTTTAAATAATTGTAATCGTAGAAAAAAATAAATAAATGATAAATGATAAAAAAATATATTTAAAAACAAAAACGGATTTATAATGATGATGATTTCGATGTAATGTGGACAACAATAGCACAATCATGACGATAAAAAAAAACTTATGCCTTTTATCAAATATACACACATACACATACATATACAACATACAAAATCAACACTTACTGGTTAGATATTCTTCTATATTAAATGGAACAAAAATTTAAATCTATTCAATTGCTGTTATTACTTTTATTATTAAATTTATAATTATGATTATGTATTAAAAACTATTTAAAAAGTAAAACATATAAAATAGAAATCAACTATAATTTAATTCTTTTTTTTTTTTTTCTTTTTCTGATATCTTTTAAATGCCAATCTTTACCAATTCATCTCTGCTATGTGTACCATTCTGTATTCGTGCGTGTTGCTTAAAGCCAAATGTCATAAACATCATAATTACCATACCTCATAATACGTAGTATCTGGGGAAGGTGGTAAAGATCGAAGTAATTGTTTCACATAATCAAAGAACGCTCAAGGTGATTTCAAAACTCATAATGTGACACTTCCTAATAGCGATAATACCATATGTATTAATGCTTTGTAATCCAATTCAATAATCCAATAATCCAAATGCTTTTTGAAAGCATATTGAGCGTTCTCAAATTATACGAAACGAGCTTAATAGAATACGATTGAAATATTTAACACGATATTCTGTAAATGTCATAAATGTTCTACATATTTGTAAATATTTGGTAATTTCTCATTTATTCGATTGAAAAAAAAAAAATATTTTTACTGACATCTGCTGAAATTTTCATTTCTACCGCTCTTTCGCTGCAATGTTCAAGTATTTATTTTATTGATTACGATCGAACTGCAAATTACAAATATGAAAAAAAAACATTCATACTCAAATGTGTATAGTTTTATGTCTCTTTCAAAAATTTAATTTTCAAAAATGTTTTTTTTTTTGTTGAATCTCTTTCAATGATCCGTGACATTGGTATGAATTCTTGATTATACAGGGTGTCTCATATATCAGGCTCACTATGAAGGAGTGAAAATTTCTAAAAACTCTTTGGGAGGTAACCCCTCAAATCTTACAAAGTCGATTTTACACTTTTTTGGTCCAAAATTTGTGAAAAAACGTGAATGAGAAAAATATCGATTCTAAGGTAATTTTTCATGATGATTCCGAATTTTTGGGTTTCAGGTCAAAAAAATCACATCTTGGGGGTTTTTGACCCCCCCGACCCCCTTAAGGGGTGGGAGGACTTGGAGGGCAGGGGTCCTAAAAAATTTCTATCGTCATTCTGAACAACTTTGTAGTACATTATTTTTTGATCCGATGAAGTTTTGCAAAATTGGGGGCACCCCCAACCCCCCTGGGGAAAAATTCAAAATTCTGCTCCGATAGAAATTTTCTATTTTTTACCCTCAACATACCTCCCAAACGGTTTTTAGAAATTTTCACTCCTTCATAGTGAGCCTGATATATGAGACACCCTGTATATATTGAAGATTTTTATGCATTTGTGCATAGCACCATAAACAACAGTTTAATTTGATTTTTTACACGATATTCTACGAAACAATTTTAATTTATTAGTGACAGTATTATTTTTGGCTTTTGTTTTTTTAAGGCAATTGAAATATCTCTTAGTCTTCACATTCAGCTTTAAAAATGTGTTCAAATTATTTCAATTTTTCACATTTATCAGTATCCCGAACATTGGAATTATGTGGTATCTGAATCTACGTTTTCGACATTTCTTTCACAACGATCGCAGTGTGACCCTATCATAATTTGATCCATCGGGAACGATGTTTTTTGCATTCTCTCAACTCTGACTTGTGCTCAATTATTTCTAACATTTTTTTGTATATCTATTTGTGATGTATAAGATCGATTATGAGTATCTAAATTGTAAAAAAAATTGAAAATATCTTATCGAAATAATTTCATTTCGCCTGCTTCATTCAACACACAAATTGCACACAATGATTCATTAAACGTAAATAATTTATATGGTGTAAGTGACGAATCATGATTTTTTTTATTATTTCATGATAAAAAACTGTCTTTAATTGTTCTTAATTCGCAAAATTCAACAACTTTTCTTCTAGATGACAGTGATATTGACACTAAAAGGGTACGTCTCATCAAACATCTCAATTCCACTCGATGGCAGACGTCTACTCATAGTGCTGTGCTTTGTGCAAAATCTTAATTGTCATGGTAAAATAAACGTAAAGTACATGCCAGTTTTAGTGAAATTGAAATCAAAATTTCCAAAATTAAAATTTAATGTCTTCGAATCTTTTGAAAATGACATTTTCATTCTATTGGCAATTGAAATACCCAACAATACTCAAAGTATTCTAGATGATCTCACTTCGAGAATCATCAACACCGTACTTATTGCGCATCGCTCAGCTATTCCAGCATTTACATTGACTATACATCGAAAAAGAATAAATACCCAAACTTCATTTTTTTCAAAAATAAACTATTAACCGGAATAAGAATGAATTTTCGATTCAAATTTTTCTTGAGAACGATCTTAAATTATGTTGTTGAATAGTAGTTATAGTTTAGGGTTCCCATCCAAAGAAGGTATACCTTGTCGTGGTGGATGGGCTTAATAGATCAAGAATTAAATTGACATTTAATATCTTTGATCTAAACCAAATACCTTCACACAATCAGTGATTGAAATCGATTTGATTTGAATCGATTTCGGAAAAACTCTATCTTCGATCATGTATACTCATCAGATATTTATTTTATTTTGGTGAAAACACCAATTTTGAAAATAAAAATACATTCCGATTTAACTAATGCACTAAGTTTTTAGTTGGCGAGCTGAACGATATATAATACACCATTTATTTTCAACTGTTCTTAATTTATCTTTATATAAAATGTAATAAACTAATAAGCATCATTTTCTTCTCTCCTTTCTCGTTTTCTTTTTCAAACAGATGGCTTCATTATTCAAATTGATGATCGTTAAGATTCTAATTTGTTTAGAAATCTCCTTGTTGTTCACATCGACCATGGCCAATGATTTTACCGTAGTAGGCTTTGGAAATGGATCAACGAAAAAGTTTTGTGGACCACGATTGGCTGAGGCATTAAAATGGATATGCAACGGCGAATACAATCAATTACAAACGAACAAACGATCAGGAGCAGGTACGTACATTGTAAAACTGAAGGGATTAGAAATTAATCATTTTGGATCTTTCAGTTTTTAAATAAAAAATCCAAAAGGATTAAATTCCAATTGTTACAAATTATTTTAAGTATTGTTTTAATATTCTTATTGGGGATTTTTTCTATATATTCGGTATTAGAATTTAATCCTTTTGGATTTTTTATTCAAAGAGATTTATTTCTAATCCCTTAAGTTTTACAATGTGATATAGACACAATAGTGCATTTAGGTGATGTAAATATCCGCAAATATTTAAATAATCATGCGATTCTCTTCTATTGATGTATCAATCTTTGGTAATTGATTTAATTGATCGATTTTATGTTCTCAATTTATTGCAGATGGAACGTTTGATGATTATTACAATGATCCATCGTTACTAGAAGGATTGCCCCCACATTATCAATCATATGCTTATCTATCAAAGATAATTCCAGATAGTGCTGCGATAAGACCTCGTGTACGACGTGAATGGTATGTGTATCGTGGTGTCTATGACGAATGTTGTCAAAATGCGTGCACAATAAACGAGTTGAAAAGATACTGCAGAGCGCAAAAATAGACAGACATTTTTACACCTACCTATAACAATCCACAAAGTTGAATACACCCTCACTTACTACATAACTTGTGCTCTTTTTCCCTAGTTTTTGTATGAATTCAAATAATATATTTTCTTTTAATTTTTACTACAAAAATTGTATACATTAAAAATGTTCAACAAAAAGTCTCCATATGAAACAAAGTTATGGGAGTTACATAAAACTGATAAAAGAATCGAAAGCCTTAAACACATTTATAATGATCGTGAAAAACCAACAAAAAAAAGTAAAATACTATATAATTATGCTATCTCAAAAACAAACTATATGAAAAATGCCATTTAATCAAAACCATATAAAACCAAAAGAAATGTGTCACACAGTGCCGTTTTAACTAGTTTCAGAGCCCTATTAACAGTACAATTTTAAATTGATCTCATTGTAATTTATTGTAGGCATTCCTAACGGGTTTCTCCCGTTTGAAGGAAATTTGCTGAATAAATTTGTGTGGCACATTTTTTCCATATTTTCTGCTAAATTTAAATGAAAACAAAAAAAAACTTTTTATCGATTTTGCGAACAAAAAAACATTGCCTTTCATATGATGTATGAGTTTCTTTTCAGATCCATCCACCTCACAAAAAATTTCAGCTTATGCCATCTCACTTACTTTTTACAATATTACGCACACAAGTACAAATGGTAGATAAAAATTCGCTAAATTTCTCTATCGAAAATGGTAGTAAAATCCAGAGTAATGAAATGACAACAACAATACCACGCATTTTTTTGTTGACAAAATATCCACTCTAGATCGCCACGACATTGGTGTTTGTAGTTTGAACAACATCATCTAGTAGGCCAAAATTTGCATGGTAAGATATATAGAATCGAAAGTACGTACAAAAAGAATGCGTAAAACCATCAATTTACATTATATTAGACACTAGAATATTTTCTCAATGTCCATCATAATGTACCCGACTTACTTTCAAACAACCACCACCAGTGTCATGACAATCTAACTCGTCAGTATGGGTTTCATTATTCTGGTAAAATCGATTAATTTCTTTTTTCAAATTAAGTTTTTAAAAAACTTATGCGTTTGTTTGTGTGTTAGTGGACAGCGAAGAATGTTTCTTGTAGACTTTTTTTGACTAATCCGGGAACCCCCGAAGTACCTACCGTACTTACATACGGCGGCTCCGGAAGTTAGGACGGTAGTGATAATCACATTTAACTTAATGTATACGTTATATAGATTTTGTATCTGTTTGCTTAATAGTAGAGAGGATGTGTGATATATAGCATAACTCGGCATAACAAGAACGAGAAAAAGGGACATCCAATTCGATTCTATCGTAACTTTTTGATAAAAAAATCAAAGCAAAAACTACTTACACTTACCTGGGGTTTTGTGCAAATGAGAGAGATTGATGAAAAAAAGTGTCAAAACTGGAAAAACTGAAAATACATAAACAATACACCCAAAAATAAAAGATGAACATGATTTTGGTAGAAATGAAGTAATCACATTTCACAGTTTTGTGTGATTCTCATTGCACTGCATCATTCCTGTCCTTAAAATTAATTTGTTTGCTTTTTTTCAAATCGTTTCAAATAAACAAAATATATACACACACATACACGACATACAAAATCTACACTCGTTTATTAATCTATATAAAATAAAAAAAATTAAATCTATTCAATTGCTGTTATTACTATTATTATTAGATATATATGATTTATGATTTTAAAACTATTTAAAAAATTAAAGCATATATAATAGAAATCAACTATAGTTTAACTATTTTTTCCCCTTAAAATACCAATATTCAACAATTCAGTTCTGCTGTGTATTCCATTGCAAGCGAACGGAATACAAAAGTAAGTCCTACGTGGTCTTGCAAAAGGCCAAATTGACACGATTCTTTTATTCTGTTTGATACATTTGTGAAATCGGTTGTGGCCTCCAATGTACGTCCGTTTCCAGATATGATTTGAGAGTGTATTATATAAGATTTATGCGCTATTCATAGTAGAGACGCTTCGTGGTATTTGTGACATGATTCGATGTAATTAATATCCTGAAAATTTGTAGTGTAACCCACCAATTTTTGAAGCAATCATCAAGCAAACATTACACCAGGCAGTAGCGTACACCCATACCTATAGATGTCTTCCAGTATTAATAATTGTTAAACATAGTAGACTGCGGGTAGAAGAAATGAGCTATTATCAAACTTCAAAGATAAAATTATAGAAATTCCAATGAATACAACGTTACGCAAAACATGAGTGAATATTTCGTGCATATATTGAAATCATTAAAAACAAACACACAAAATGATCTATTTTCTCAAATACCCATATTATTTCATAGAATATTGTATATGTAAGAAAGTTTTAAAGCCATGAAATGAATTTCGTGCTTGGCTTGTTTTAAAACTTCATATGTTTTGCGAGAGAGTTGAGCAAAAAAAAACACAAATTTTGAAGAAGATATGGATTCACCTTGTGTTGTTTTGCTGTGTGATTCGCCTAATCATCCCAAAATGGAAAGATGAGTCGAATGGTTTTTCAAATCATTGAAAATTTTAAGCCACAATATAAAATGAATCTAAATTTCAATTTGACACATTTACTCCATTTAGAAATGTAATAGTTCAATTTTTAATGAATATTTCCGAAACTATTCGCTGAAATCTTTTTCAAACAATTATTATTTCAAAACAAATCTCAGTTCTATCGTTATTTAAAATGATTTTTACAATAAGCATATAGAAATATTTCATATGATCTATGGGATTTTATTTTCTTCAACAAAAAGACATTTGGAAAAGTGATTGGCTGTAGTGTATGTAAGCTTTCAAGTATTTTCGTAATTTCAATACAATAAAAATCGGAAACCAAAATCAATTTTAACAAAACTAATGGCTTTATTGAATATTCATAATAAATGAGAAATTTTACATTTTGTTCTGTTGCTTCTAAGAGCCGAAACCCGAAGCAATTTACATACAAATTAAATGATCGCTTTACCTAATAGAAAATATTATTAAAATTATCAATTAATATAAGATAATAAGCATCCTTTTTCCACTTTACTTTTATTGCAGTATATTGACTGTTGTGATTTGTGTGTGTGTGTGCAAAATTATGAATAAAGTTTATGTATACGTTGATAAACGTTTCGATGCACGAAACAGACATGAGTGAGTGAGTGTGTGTGTGAGAGAGAGAGAGATAGATAGAAACAAAATCATATGTTAAACAAAAAACGAGCAAACAACAGCATACAGCAAAACTAAGGCGGTGTAGTATTTGGATTTGTGTATGTAAATCCTTGAAATTGATGTTGATCAATTGATTGTAAAATGTCTTTGTCGATCGGTGTCAATCGTACGCGTTCACGCGTGAACGTTTTATCAAAATACTGTGTATCTAATGGATGTTTCTGCGAAGAAAAACGTGAGAAGACAAGTAAAGAAAATAGTTTCATTGAAATATCGAAATTTGTGACGGAAACTTACAATTTTCGGTTTAAATGGTGGATCCAACTGTCTCTTCTCCAATTTCTTCCAATCAATTTCATAGAAGAAAACATTATCTGTGATTTCACCATGTGGACTGGTTGATGCACCCAGTCGAACACTTGCATCCTTTTCTAATAACTAGTTTTTTGTTTGTTAAAAGATAGCAAAAATATATTGATTAACAGGGTGGGAAATGTTTTCGTTTCCATTTTCACACTTACTTTACTTAAAATATTTAAAGCTTCCTTGGATAAATAAAATGGATACCATGGAATTTCATTACAAATACTCCAAAAAAGCTCATCTTCATCACAACCGCTGAACGGCGATTGTCCAATAAGCATTTCGTAAAGGAGTACACCAAACGACCACCAATCAACGTGTTGATTATACTTTTGACCCTATTTCAAGTGATTACAATTGAAGAAAAGAAAATGTAAAATACTTGTTATCTTATCGCAAATCAAACGGCTTTTTTTTCTTCAGGAAAATGTTTTGAATAATAATCAAATCAATTACACCTCAAGAGTGGAAAAAAACTTGGAACCAACCTTGATAATTTCGGGTGCCATGTAATCGGGCGTGCCGCAAAAACTGTCGGCCGTTCTATCTAAATAAATCTGCAATTTACACATGCCAAAATCGGCAATTCTAACATGACCATCGAAGTCTAATAAAATGTTATCCAACTTCAAATCTCTAAAAAATCGCACATTGCATATGAAACGAATACAAAGCAATACAGAAAGAAGAACAAAAAATCGATTTAACATTTCGAACAAACGAACAAAAGAAATAGAAAATAGAATGACTTCGAAAACAATGTGAATAACATTTTCGTACCGATAAATAATTCCTTTTTTATGCAAAAATTTCAATCCCGAAATGATTTCGGCGGCATAGAATTTGGCACGTGGCTCTGGAAAGCGTCCGCTTACTTGTATGTGAAACATTAAATCGCCGCCATTCAAATACTCCATGACGAAAAACAGATGACTCTAAATTGTGGAAGCACATACATATTAATAAACAAGAATGTAAGCAAAGAAAGAGGTGCGATGTTAAATGAACGAATCAAAAGTAAAATGAAAAAGTGAAAGAGAGAAAAATCGTACCTCTGTTTGAAATGTACAAAATAGATGACATAGATATGGATGTTTTGTACCCAGAGCTAATACTTTCCGCTCAATCAGTGTGCATTCAACGTCGTCATCTTCGAGAACAACATCCTTTTTCAGGCATTTCACCGCATAATAGAATTCCGTGTTCTTGAGTTCCGCTAGCAAAACCTGTAACAAAAATGAGATAGAGAGAGAGAGAGAGAGGAGAACACATCACAGTTATAACGCTGGTTTTCTTTTTGTTATACGAAAAATCGAAGTGATGGTTGAGTGTGTGTGTGTGTTAGTTTTTTCTGTTTGGTTTATTTAGTAATCCCACAAACGAACTTTCGTCTATAGGGTTCATAAAAACCGCAAATTGCATTTAACCCACTTTACATTTCTTTGATGTCGACAACAGAGATAGAAAATGAATTGAATAAAACCATAGAAATTATAAGTACTTTAGTCACTTGAATTTTGGAACATGAGATGCAACTTTAGCAAATGGAAAAATATATTTCGTCGACCCAGTGGCAACATGACGGGATTTTGTGTACGACTTGATTTGAATATATATATTTTTTGTATTTTCTTACCTTTCCGAAGCTTCCTTTGCCCAAAACGGTTAAAAAATGAAAATCATCGACCGAATACTTTTTGAAACGTGGTATTGATGTTGCCGGTGCGGTTATCGTTCCAGATCGTTGAAATTGTGCATAAGTGTATGATGTTTCTGCGCATAGGAAAAATAGAATAAATTGCATTGACATAAGAATGAAATAATGATAATTTGACACAATTCAAGTATTCGGTGTGCGCTTCTTTTAAACTCCAAAACATATTCAAAGCAAACGTCCTATTTTTTTTTTTTTGATTGAATTGAGTAAACACTTGAAGTATTTCAGTTGCACAGAGGATTTGCATAACTGTATTTATGACATGTCATGAACACAGAGTGGCACACATAAAATGGATTTCTTTTTATTACGCCTTACTATATTCATGCCAACGGCCATTCGCTTCATGAAAATAACAATAGTCGATGGCTTTTTTTTATTTCAATGGAAACGGTTAGTTGGGTAGAATATTTTTCCGGACATTTTATTTCGATTATTATATGCTAATTAAGCACCATTTCTAAAGGGCTATAACGTCTACAGAAAGTAATTTGCTTTTAGTAAATTATTATGTGCATGATTTTGTTATTTGTTTATGATCCTATAAGTGTTGGGCAATGAGTTTAAATCCATTTTGTTATTAAAATTCTTGTTTTATACAGCACAGTTGAAACTAATTTAATCTGTTACATTTGGTCAAACGTACAAATGATTTTTCGAGAGGAACAAAGGAGGTGATTTTTATTTGAAATTATTTCAATATAAAAAAAAACGTCACATGTACACAAACAAGTAGGAAATTCCACATTTGAAATGACGAAAACACCATACACATAACATGGGTATATTTAAATTATACAAAATGTGTTCTTTGATTATGCTTCTTGAACGAACCGGATAAAATCAACTATTTTGACATTGGTGTGTGCCATACATTCAAACATAGGAAACCGTTACGAAATTAATTCAATAAAAAAGTTTCGATGTCGGAAAATATTCGAATAAAATAAAACTAATTTTGAATGATAAAAAGGATATTGATTAACAAATTGTTGTCATTTATTAAGAACTGTCTATTTAAAGAGCATTGATGATATATTCCGCAACCAAACACACACACGCACACACACACAAGATCATTGACAACAGTATTTAAGAATAGAAAAGGTGCGGAAAACAGAAAGAGACATTAAGCATTTGCAAAATGTGTTTGACGTGACTTAATTCATCACTTGTATGAAAGCTCATATAAATTTTGACAGCACAACGATCATACGTATGTATGATCCTAGAGGCAACGAAGAGGAAGAGAAAAATATCCGTCTGCATGTACGAATTTGACTTTTCATTTCAACAAAACATTAATTTCAATTAAATGCGATTTTATATGCATGTGATGAGAAAGAAAGATAACGGAAATAGTGTCAGAGATAGAGTGCATATCATATATATGCACATGCATACACATACAGATTCAACATCTTGCTTCACCTGCAAAATACGCTATAAGAATATGCTTCTGATTCTTTATCTTTCCATCTGCCCCTGTCTTCCTTCCTCTGTACCATCTTTTATCTCTCACCAACAACATCGTATTAGCGTCTCATATTATTTGTGCTTATGCAAAAATGTTCGAATTTTGTTTTATTTATTTCTTCATAATTTTGTGATATATATTTCATGTCATCTTATTCGTACATATGTTTTGTTTGTTAACGAAAAACGACAGAAGAGACATAGTATGCAAACAAGAAGATAGAAGGAGAGATATAGAGAGAGAGAAGTGAACACGATGAGATTTTATAGAAAGTTTCAATCTATTTTTGTACTACATCGAACGTAATTTTCAAAAAATGTTAAAATTAAACACCATTTAAAATTAGAATTTGTACCCAAACTAAACCAAAGACAAAAAGAAAATAACCGTAAAAGAAAGCAACGACGGCAACTACAGTGACGGCAGCGACGGCGTCAATCATTCAGCCGAAAGATAAGTCTTAATAGAGCTCTGCTTAGAGAGTAAAAAGGAAAATACATCAGCAACGCTATCGCCAGAAATGTGTTGAAAAGTGGCAAAACGAAACAAAATAATATTAAATAAAACGACGAACGTTGCAAGAAATGAACGAATGTGGTGAAGAGAGGAAGAGAAAAATACAGAAAAAAACCATATATACAAAATGAAATTAAATTAAAATGATTGATTACGAAGGTTGAAGCGTGCAATATATACATTGAAAAATCCGAGAGAGCACAGTCATCGCTGTTCGCTTCGAAATTACGACTACATTTTGCGCAAAATTATGTGATGATGAAATTGCGGTAACAAAAAAAAAGAAGGCGCGAGATGTGCATAAAGGAGGAAACGTGTACATGTAAGATGAAATAAATAAAACAAATATGTTCCTTTAAACTCTGCAAAACGCAATGCAATCTAATTTATGCACAATTATTTTCAAATCGTCGTTGAAATTTTTTGAGCACTGCATGCGCCCGGCGTGAACAGAGACTCGGAACTCAGATACGAATCCACTTAAATTTACATCACACAATGCAACTTGGATGTTTCGCTGTATTTATCCTCAACCATCTGGTCTGAAATTTGTTTTCTGTTATGTTGACGATCCATATGCAATCAACCCATTGTAATTCTTACTTAAATATGAATTGAAAATCAATTAATGGCTTCAAATAGATACATTTACATTTTATTATGTGCTTGTGTGGAGGAAAAAATCGAAAATTTAATTTAACACATATTCAATGGCATTTTCACGACACAAAAAAAAAAAAAAACAAAGTTTAGTTTCGATATAAATGTATCTACTAGATTGCGAACGAAAAATGTTATTCGTTATTCATTCGCAAGTTCGTTGATAACAACATCAATAATGTCTATTCGAAATTTGAAGTTCGAATACATTTGAAGATGACAATGAATGTTTTCAACCAACAAATAACAATCGAAAGGTAAAAATTAATAACAACCGAAAAACATATAGAAAAAACGACTAAAGACCAAACGAGACTTTAACACATACAAGAAATAAACAAACAGAAAAATACATGAACATTTTATACCCAAATTATTACTATCGGCAGTCTCAAAAGATTTGGATGTTGATTTTTGGCTAGCAATTGCCACATGGTGTGTACTTGATTGCTCCCGTGCACCTTAAAATATAAAACGAGAGAAACAAAATTACGTTTGATGATGACGACTTTTTGCGCTACGCTTCGATTGCATTGTCGCTTCATAATTGGTTGAATCAAACACACTTTGCATGTTTGAATAGAATGTCTTTTTTGTATTTTTTTTTTTTTTTAGTTTGTACCTCGACGTACTGATGATAACGCTTCAACGATCAATTTCTGATTTACTCCGCATAAATTGGCTGTTAGCTTTTGACATTTTTTATGACAATTGACATCACAATCTGAATGGAATTCGAATTGAAACGAAAATGAGAACTATTTTAATTACACCTGCTTAATAATTTACTCAATTTATAAAGTGTATAAGAGCAACAACAAAAAAAAATCGCTATCAATTTGTTTAATCGACGATATGATTTGCATAGTTGTAAGCCAATCGAGACTCACTTTTGCCACGTGATGTATTGGAACGGTATTTTCTAATTCGGTGTTGAACATATTTCTTTTTATTCAATTTAATTTGCGATCTTAAATTGAGAATTTCAAATTAATTATAGCTAAAAATATAAATTTTTTTTACAGAAAGTAATTTGAATTTCATAAGAAAAAAAAAGAAGACATTTATTTAAAGAAACAATTCCACTGATATGAGGAAAGAAATGTGTGAAAAAACGATGTCCTTGAATCAAATTAAGAAAATGCCTTTTTACTGTTTACATGTTTTAATATTATTATTATTATTATTATTTTATTGTGATGATGCTGACGATCGGCATCGTTATTTAGACGATGCAATCAGAAAATTATCTTAAATTGCAGTCTGAGCGCTCATTGCTGATCAATTTGGATTTAGCCACGTGAAAACGATATACGATATGCGACAACATATAACAGTGGTTGCTTTGGAATGGGACAATAATTGTTTATAAATAAAAGACGTTGAAATAAATCTAAAAATAATCCGCACTGTGACCAAAAATACAATTTGAAGAAGAAGAAGAAGAAGGAAGAAAAAACACTGTTATGATGTATCGGAACAAAAATATTGTAATTGATTACGAATTATAAATGTTGCGTGCATTTCAACCCCATCAATTAACATTTTTTTTTCTGTTAGAATTTTCTGATGTGTGTTAATGCAGCGAGATAAGTGTTGCCTTCATAATTGCGCTTTTATTAAACGCTTTTAACGAATTGGCAATATGAAATGAGAACTCAGCCATAGTCGAGATCAACTTGGCTTGTCGAATATGCAAATAATTATGTGTGTTTGTGTATTTGGTCAAATGCGCCGAACGATCGTCCATTCGATTAATTGCATTTGGTTAAAGAAGAAAATTCAATGATTTTGAAATGAATTCAAATAATTTTCGTAATTTTTTTCTCTTCTCAATTCTCTTGACCGTCATGCGATATTCGAGCTTTTATTCTTCATGCTCTATTGCCATGTTGATAGCATCGACAAATTAAAAGTAATATAGTGGTATGTAAGGAGCGAAAGAGAAAGAAAAGGCTAGAGTGTCGGCTCCGCAAGAGCACTGCTACTGCTATTGCAAATAAATATCGTCGCTCATTCGCTGACAGCGTCAGGCAAACAAAATGAAGGAAAGAATTTCAAGAGATTTTGGCTGATTTCCTAAAGTTTGTTAATCGCACCATTCAGCTCATTCCTATTATTTATATCTATTTAAATAATGAATCGTATTAATTTTGATTTTTTTTTTGCGATCGCTGTTATTTTTTTTCTACTTTATTCTGTGCACAAGTGAAACTTTAACCAAAATAACATTTGTTTTAAAACAAATGAAAACATGTGATTCCGTTCGACCCCAAAAATAACATGCTTTTGATTATAGCCTTAAAATTTCTTACATTCCAAGAATAAGATAGAATTGTATATTTAAATTCAAATTGAATGGTCATCAGTGTTCAAAAGTAATACAGTTATGTTTTATGACACATTATTTATATCACCTACAATAGTAATAAACGAAATATTTAAAATTAAACTGACAACAGTTCGGAAAAAATAATAATAATACTCCAATCGGATTGAAAGAGACACTTTTTTTTAGCAATTCGTACAAATCAATATGCATACACATACATGAAAATCAGAACACGTTCACTTGTACATTGCTAATTGCTTTAAAATGTTATGTATTGTGTTTGTTTTGAATGCCCTTAGACATTATATTCGAATGCATGTCGAATATTCGTCATTTTAAAATTGAGCCATGAATTCAAAATTAAATTTTGACACATCGAATTGACGAATGACGATTGATTTGGATGATTTATATTTGAATAAAATTTCGATGCGTATTGTGAATGTCCCTGTATTCTGGGGACTTTCTGATCGTTACAATTTGATGGCAGTAAACTCCGTTTTGCATGTTTCGCGGACTCTCGAACGAATTGAGACAGATAGACAGAGAGAGAGAGAGAGAGAGAGAGAGAATGAAACAAAAACAAAACAAACAAAAAAGAAAAACCCGAAGCAGAACAAAACAAATAAAAAGGGGTATGAGTGATAAAGCGCAACAAGTGCCGATCTTTCAACAATCATTTATATATACACATATAGGTGTATAAGATCAAAATCAAAATAATGCAATATACGAGAAAGCGAATTCAAACATAAATAAAATGGTCTATGACAGTTGTTTTGATCGACAAGAGCAATCGCATTCATTCTGCACCTAGGTCAATTAAATATAATACAATGTTTTGTGCATTTCGAATTGAATATTTTGTGATTTGTTTTGTGCACAACGCAAAAACGCGACAATGCGACAACGATGTATTCAATTTACTACGATTCAAATTAAATGATTGAAAGTGAAAAGTGAAAAAATAGTATTATTCAGATGTATCATTGTTTGTTATGTGGTGATTAAATATTGTAAAAATGAATTTATTTTCAGCGAATTTTGATGGATATTGTTGTTTGTGCACTTTGTATATATAATATACGCATGTATGCATACATGGGAAACAGGTATGTTCCTTACCAAGCATTTTTTTGGGAGTTGATGGTGCTGTGCCACCGCCTTCAAAGCCCGAATCATTGCTGCACGTGCTCATTCGTATCACATCTTTAACCACAATATCATTTGGCGATAGACATTCGTCGTAACATTCGTCTGAGCTAGAAATATCACTGCTTGTTTCGCTTTCACTTTCACTTTCGCCATAATTTCCACAATAATTTGATCGTTTGGCCAAGGGACGAGGTGTTGCAATCATCGGATATTTTGATGATTCTTCCATCACATAGCACTTTCGTTTTGGATCCAATTTCATTTTTTTTCGCGGATCGAGAACTTTCTCTTTTCGCTTTTTATGCCGATGCTTACCCATTTCGTTGCCGTCGTCCGTTTCACTGTCACTATACTTTTCCGAATTGCTGTCCAAATCCAAAATCAAATCAAATGTTTCATCTCCACTGATGCAACTGTCCGCTATGCTGCGCGTACTGAATGTGGATATCTCATTGCGACTGCGATCGTTCACTAGATCGATTGATGGCGATTGACGTTCGATTTTGAATTCTGCATTCAAATTGGCAACCGTTGCAAATTTGCTTAGACCACCAACGCCGTTGTCGCTTCTGTTACGTTTGCCGTTTTCATTTTCGTCGTCATCGTTTCGATGCTCAATATTATCGAACGGATTTACAATTGTATCGGACACTGTGTTGTTTTTCGCCCCCGCAATTGAATTCAATTTCGATTCATTATCATTACCACGGTCTGATAATTTCGGTTCAATTGTTTCGGTCAATGCAATCGATGCAGATGCAGCCGATATGTCTGCGTCTGTAGTGCTTTCTGTGGCATTGGTTTCACTTTCAAATGACGACATGGACTTTACTTTGACAATTTCCCTGCCATTTGCATCTTTCTTGGTGATTTTTTTCTTTGGTTTCGATTTGACAGGTGACTTTGATGTTTTGTCATCAGCGGACGCAATTGCTGTTGCTGCTGTTGCTGCTGCTGCCGCTGCTGCCGTTGCCTTTTTCTTAACCACCTTTTTAGCTTTTGGCTTTTCATCAGGGCTTTTTGGTAAATTGGAATCATTTGATTTTTTTGCTACCTTTTCTGGTGCTGACGTTGTCGCTGCTTTTGTTGTTATTTTCGGTAGAATTTTATCGTTTTCAGTTTTTATGGGCGCATTTTGGGTAGACGCTGCTGTTTCTTTCTGTTTCGATTTTTTTAGTTGTTCTGTTTCTGTTGCTGTTGTTATTGCTGGTAGTGGTTCTACTACTGTTTTGTTGGCCTGTGGCCCAGTCTCTAAATTTAGATGAACGGTTTGCATCATCGTAGGTGCTTTCACATCACTTCTGTCTGTTTGTTTATGTTCGTGACAAGTCGTTTTGTTGCCGTTGTTGCTATTGCTATTTGTTGCCGTTGTAACATTTTCTATTAAATTTATCGGGCATATGGCGTTGCTACTTTCCATTGATTTTATTTCCATTGGTTTGGCAATCGTTTCCTTGTTACCTACGGCCTTTTCAATTTTACCCATCGCTTGCTTTGGCAAATTTGCGTTTGTCGCAATGATACCTTTGCCTGATGCCACGCCGTCAACGCTCTTGTTATTCAAGTCATCGCTGCTGATGCTATTATTGTTGGTTTTCAAATTCTTATTCGCAAGTACTTTATTTCCTACTTTTTCTTGAGTGATTTCCTTTGCTTTTATGTTAATATCTGTTGGCGTTTTGCCTTTTGATTTTGCATCGACTTTTGGTTGTTCATGTTTTTCGTCAATTTGTGGCGACGCATTTAATTCAATTTCAATTGATTTTTTTGCACCATTTTTGGCGGCCAATTGCTTTTCAGCTGCATCACCACCATCACCACCATCAACATTATTCGTCTCATTTTTATCGATAATTTCAATGATTTCAATTTCATCTCGTTTTAAATCAACCTTTTTCTTGAAATAAACCGATTCACGTCGTCCAATTAAATTCCAAAAGTCTTCATCATTTTCAGTTGAATGTACGGTGGCCGGCTTCGATGATGTTGTGGTTTTAACATCATTTCGTTTCGGCAAATTTAATGTAACATCCTCTTTGATTTCTTCAACCACGGCTCTCCAAGTCGGACTAATTTTCGCGTTACCGCTTGATGGTGTTAATGGTGGCGTGTCAATTGTAATTTGCGGTTCTTTTGGATTTTCCACTTCAACGGTTACGGTGATTTTATGCTTTAATTTTCCGCCTTTTTTCTTTGTTTTCTTTTTAATTACAATCACATTTTCAACATTTGGTGGATCTTTTGGTTTTTCATCGAATTTTTCAATCGTAACGTCTTTGCTCTCTCTCAATTCAGTGTCGGTTTTATCAGAAATTTCATCGGTGTTCGGCTCTTCATCGATCGCTTTATCAACAGTTACATCGGCCGATGGTCGGCGAATTTGTGTAAGTTGTGCCAGAATTTGTGCTTCTTGTTCCAGTATCAATGATGCACGTCGACGCAAATCACCTGCATTAAGATCGTCTTGGGCTTTGATTTCCGATTCAGAAATCTCTTTGCAAATATCTTTAAAGCTTGGACACGTTATCAAACTTTGGCGTCGAATTGATTTTCGAATTAACGGTTCCAAATAGGTGATTTCCTGTGGCGTTACATTGTCTGGAATTCGAACGATTGTCGGATTTGGTTCGATTGGAACTTTCAACGAATCACTTTTGTCACGAATAATATGGCGTTCGAGTATAAGTTCGCCGGGTGTTTTTCGTACCACTTTTGGTGTTTGTATTTGCAATGAATCACCAAATTTATCGCGCCATGATCTTTTTACATTTGATTTTGTGTCGTATTCCGTATGCAAATCGTCCGATTCTTGGCTACTGCTTTTTTTAAACAAACTCGAGTGGTCATAACCAGTTGACGACGGAGACAATGGTATCGATGGTGAAGTTGGTGTTGATGGTAACGATCGTTTATTTGTATTACTATTAGTATTTTTGATATTGTTATTTCTATCATTTTTTATTGAGCTTTGTGAACTTCGATTGCTGTGCGATTGACTGCGTTGACGCATTGTCGACAATCGTACAATATTTCGATCACGTTTGATTGTCGCCCTTGTATTGATCGGATCATTTTGATCAATGCGTGGCATAAATGCTGAATTATCGGTTTTATTTTCATTGTTCGTTTCTTTGTCGTTGTTGTCTTTTTTAATCGGTTCCGGTGATGTGGACCGAATGCGTGCATTACGATGTCGATGAAATTTCGATGCAGACACATCAATATCGGCTGTATCGATTCGAATGGGTCGTGGTGACACATAAGTACCGGGCGTTCGTAGAAAATTATATGTTTTACCGGAATTGATTCGAGTCAATGAGGTCAAGCCATTCGTGCGAATCGATGACACAGCCATAGGACTTTCGGATATTGATGTGAGTATCGGTTTGAATTGGCCATCTTTGGTGTAAATTGTTGGTCGTGGCGGTGGTGGTATGTATGGATTTAAACGTGAAAATGGCGAATATGGTGACGATGATATTGGACTACGATTCGCCGAATAAACCGAATTATTTGGAAGATAATAACTTAATTCGCTATAGAGAGGCATATCTTTCGTTCGATTTTTCTCAAAATTTCCGTTCGTTGATTTATATCGCTTACCAGAGCAGCACAAACAAAATGTTTAAATGTTTTTATTCATTATGTAATATTATTCGTTCAATTTAAATGTTTACTGTGTCATGTTCATTGTCGATATTTAAGATGTTTCATTTTCTCGTATTTTCTCGGCACCAAAACAAAACCAATTAGAAAAGAATATTTGTCTAGAATTGCACTAGTGTTTTTTTTTAATCAAATTAGATTTTTGTTTGAATTTTAATACTTTTTATACACCATTCGATATGCATTAACATACCAACGTCACATTGGCGACACGTTCAATAGACGAAGCAGAAGAAAAAGGCGTTGAAAAAGCTGTGAAATTAATCGTATTTTCAAAAATTATGTTTTACGTTTTAAAACGATCGCTGCTTTGCACAACACTAAAAAAAAATTACTAACTTCAACTGAATAAGTGCAAAAGGCTTGCCGAACTCATGTAAATGTCGAATGCGTGTTGCATAGAGAACAAACAAACAATGAAAAACACACAATCGACAAAACAAAATGCGAATTGAAATGGCCAGCAAGCATATTATTTCGCCGAAAATGTGCACAGATGTGAAGTTCTCGTATTGGCTGAGACAGGCTCTCTCTCGCGCACCGACAAGACACAAACTTAACGTATGTATTATTCAAAATGACTGACTTGCTCGGAAAAACATAGCACAAAAGTACATCTACACAGTGCCGTTTTTCTCACTTTTTCGTCTCATTTTCTATCTTCGTCACGCGATTTTCTTGTATTGCTTGCGCGTCACTTTAATGGTTTTTTCTATGGTGTGTTTTTCTTTCTCTTCTTTTTTTGCTTCTTCTTCATTTGATTTCCTTTAAAAAATATTTTTAGTTTTTCGACTGTGTCTGGGTATACAGCGCCTCTCTTCGGCGAAACCATATATAATATCTATAATAACATATATATATATATATATAAAACTTAATTTGTATCTATTTCTCTCTCAGTCTCAGACTATCTGCTTGTCTCTTTTCTCTCAGTTTGTTCTCGCATTTGGTCACGAGCCGTAATCCGTGCATCCATATGAAAGTTTGTGTATGTGTGTATAAATATAACCATAAATAAGAAATAATGATTGCGTGTATTTGCCATTTGGCTACCAAATTGTTTATATGTTTACTGATTAACATCATCATCATTATCAAGATGGGGGTGTATGGCTAAAAACCGATGCTCTAAGGCCATTTGATTGAATAGAAAAATATATATATGAAAAAAAAAAACATCCCAGGCCGATATTAGTCACAGTAAAATTATCAATAAATTCTTCATACCATGTTCTTGTTACAATTCAATTTTATGCATCAATAAAATGGGCATTCACCCACATTTGCCGAATTCAATAGAACAAGCCATTAAATTACATGCGAATTTGAGTGAAAAATGCTCAACTTTCCACCGAACATCGAATAAAAACTGATCAATTGCTTCTGTCATTTGTCGATTGCACGTAAATAAAATCAATAACATGAAAATGAAATTGAAGCATTTATATGAGCGAAAAATTAGTGAATCTTTTACATAAGTAAACATGGAAATCATATTTTAATGAATTCAACCAATCCAACAGTATCTGGACATAGCAATGTGACATTAGCAGTGAGTTGAGCATGGACATTTTAATGAAAATGTATAAATTGTTGCAGGAAAATTTAATAAAGCAACAAGTAATGAAAAACAAAACACAATGTATTTTCTACCGAGCAATCATATGGGCTAAATTGAGTTTTGCCTATTTATTTATACATACATGCATTGCTTATGATATGACGTACATTTTCTTTATGACGATTCAAACGAAATGCAAGTGCCTCTAAGCGAGTTCAACGATTTCAAAAGCCAATTAGACAATTAAGTGAACAGCGATACGTTATGATCAGAAAGAGCAAAAATCGGATCCAGAATAAGTGAAAATCCGTAGCAGACAGCTTTGCAATCAATAAATCGCACATTTTTAGTTTATGTTTTTTTTTTCTGCAAAGTACATTAATATGTCCGACACTCCACAGTTCATTCAATATTGCCGCAAGCAAATTCATTAAAATAGAGAAGTCATTTTTCACAATTTATGAATGGCCATTTAAAAAGTATAAAATTTTAAGTGTGAAAATCATTTGAAAATGTAGTGAAGAAAGACGAAAAATTCGTACTGAATGAATTAAGAGTGTTTTCTCAAGTAAATCCATAATGTACGAGATCAAAGAAGTTTGAAATTTGGCCAGCATAACGATCTACAGGTGCACAAGTATGTTATATGTATATGTTGTTATATACGCGAATCGATTCTAGTGCGCGACGAGAGAGAAATAAATATTGACGCTTTTGTTGTGCGTCGAAATGTAACAGATGCTCGTGCGCTTTTTTGTTTGTTTCTCGCTTTGGTGTTGTTTCATTGAGATTCGATTGGCAAAAAAAAATCATCTAAAATGTATCGTATCACAAAAACAGGGGAATGTATCTTGGGCTGTATGTGTCAGTTTTATTTTGTTTCTTTTTGTTCTTGTTATTTCACTTCAGCATTTTGCGCATTGCAACAAAAAGGCGAATTGAGGTCATATTTCGTAATTTCGCAAAGCAGGAGCATCACCAAGAAGATGCAACATCTATTCTTCTTTTTTTAAGTCTCGTTCTATCATTGCCATTCCCTCTTGACGTATGATATAAAATACGAGGCCTAAAGGCGGACTAAGAATATAAAATTTCATCCATAAATTAGTTGATTACAAAATTATATATTCACCTAACTCGGTGGCCCGTATATTATATATTCAAAATGTTTTAAATTTCACTCGTCACGAGTGAAAGAGAACAAACAACAGCTAAACCCAGATGCTCATACACACAACGTATATTTTTGTCGCTTAGAAATTTCCATCATATTTTTATCTCTCTCCCGAAATTCGTTGAAGTAAAGAAGAAAAAAAAAGAAATGTAGACGAAATGCCGGTCGTTTTATATTTTATTTGTCTCATGTGCAATGAAGCATCGTTTTTTTCATGTAGTATACATGGCTAATACCTGCATTTATTGGCCAATAGAAAATGATTTTCGAAACATACATTGTTTGTCTTGAGCAAAATTTTCAATATTTCACACTGATCCCGACCACCGTACCAATGAACCCACATTATTATTATTTCATCTAAATTTGACACAACAAATATGCATCGAACTATGAATAATCTAATTTTATGTGATGAAATATCGTAAAAATTGTTATTTGTATTCTCTGACGACCACCGACGCTCATTCCAATCATTCATAAGATTTGATTGTTTCTTTTTTCTCTTCTTATTATACAAAATAGAGCAATCGGATTGGAAATTTTTTTTCGTTTTGACAACGTGATTAACAAAACGAGAAAGAAAAATGTCTCATGTCTAAAATGTGTTCAACAATGACTTGGCAAACATATAGTCTGTGTTGTGTTTATCACAACTAATCAACTAGTTGTGAGCGCGAAACACACTCACCACCACATACCGAAATATACACATTCTTCATTTTGCTATCAGCTCACACAGTTGCTCTGACGCATTTCATTGTTTGGCGATACAAATCAAATTGAAAGTGAAAGGCCAAAAATGCTCAACACACCGAACAACAATACAAAAAAAAAAAGAAAAATCTATTGTATATGCTGAATATCTATTTTTAAAAAGTTTGCGCACAATACAACAAACGGAAGCAAACGTATTTCGCACGTAAGCACATTGATACATTTCGATAATTCATCCAAATGAAATTGAGTGGAAAAAAAGAAGATTATTTTTCTTATACATTTTCTGTTGTCTCAAATAAAACGGCAAACATTCGGTCTTGTTGCCGTTTACAATAAATGTATAAAGACGCAAGCCACAAAATAATCTCCATAAATTATTATTCACGTTGCCAAAGATATATGTAGAATTCGAATGACGGTCGTATTATAACTTTTTTTTTTTTCAAATTTAAGATTCGACCGAATAAACAAACCCATTATTTGTAACATTTTTTATTCCATACTTTTTCAAAATTGATTGTGATCTTTGCTCGAGATCAACAATACGAACTGTGGCAAAAGTAGACTGGACTATAAATGGAACCGAAATTGGAAGCTTAAATAGAAAAGCTTTTTTTGCCCGACTTTTTTTTCAAATCGACAGTTTTTTTCATGATGAAAGCCGCGATTACAAATTGATAGCGATTCGGATTTGAATGAAAGGCATCGTTTTTGAAGAAAAAAAAACTCTTTTTCAGATCAGAAAAACTACCTTCACATTTAAGTCCTTGACGAAATATTCCATACAACAGCGAACCACAGTGATCACAAAATGTCGGCGACATAAACGTGTGGACACGAAACCGATGAGGCAAATCAATCTTAAATCGTTCTCTTAGGTACTGGAAATTTAAAGATAAATGTAAATTAATAATAAATCTCATCAATTTAATAAAGACAAATGAGGCTATTGACTTACGATTGTGCTTTCCGAATTAAAAACCGATTCAGAGCATGTTCCAAGTAGTTTTTCATGGCATTTCTTATGTACAGCAGTCTGACATGCTACGAAACAAATATCAAATATTAACAAATTCCATGCCATTTTTTATCTTCTTTTTTCAAATATAAAATTATAATGACTAATTTTCAATCGACTTCAATCTAATCTGCACACTTTTGGACAAGTTTTGCACAAAAAAATACATTTTGCCATCCTGAACATTCAAAAGTAAACAACCTCATTCGATCGTCAATGAAACTTGGAAAATGTGTGAGATAAATAATGAAACTTTGACAATTTTCAAATATTTGTTTTTTGTATTGACCCAATCAGACTTCTTTAATGCCTTTGGTTGACAGATCTAACCTAGGATCTAACTCACTATTGCATTGATATCCTTGTTTTCCAAAGCCCCATAAAAATTCTTTGCAGAATGCGCAAAAAGTTGGTTGTCGAAAAAATTTCGCTACAAATTTATGCCCATTGATATTATGTGTTCTGCAACAAAATGAATATTATCAATTAAAGTGTTTCGTTTGGTTAATTTATCTTTTTCTATGAAACACTTACTTCTGATATTTAACGGCACCGCGTCGATTGGTGATACTTTTGATGCGGGTATTTGTAAATTGTACTAAAGCTGAACTGCTGCCGCCAAGATCGGATATACTGCTTCGATATAACATCGATGATGTTGACGATGATGCAATACTATCCTTGCTGTGTCCACCGCCAGCAGCCACAGCGTCACGATCATCACTGTGATCGTCATTGGTGCGCTTTACACCAAGCCTTAAATATGATGGTAAAGTAGGGTAAGTGTTGCTGTTGCTTTGGTTGTTCTGTGTGCTTTTCCGTGGTAAGGATGTTGAATTATTAGTTGTTGGATTTATGTTGTTTATGTCGTTCGATGGATTCTTATTTCGATTCTGAGCATTTTGTTTGTTTGTCTTTGACTGGCCATTTTAAAGGTGGAAATATAGAACAGAGTGTTTTAAAATCGAATGATAAAAAGTTGTTTTTAAATTTAATTTTGCTATTTTCTTCGGTTTTATAATACCTCTGGATATCGTTCACGTTTTCTCACGCCATTGTTACTATTTTGTGTGATGCCTGTTTTCTTCAAACCAGAAAACATCATCTTTGGAGCTGACCAATGATGAAGTTTGTTTTTCTTTTTGATTGTTTTCTTTATTCAATAGTCAATTTTTTTGTTTTCTCGTTCTTTTTTTTTTCTTTTGAATTTTGAAACGCTTTTTTAGTTGTAACTGCTTATCACTTTTAACACGAGAAAACGAGTGCTATAACTCACTCTAATATTTATCGTTTATTTTTATGTAATGCACATTTTGTTATTCATTCATTTTGCCATGAAATTCATTCGATCTAACCGTTCGAGATCATAAGAATGGAAAGCGTTCGTTACTAAACAGAAAATAAAAATTGTACAAATAACTGCGGCTGTTCATGTTTTTTTTTACAGATTTTTGTTTTTGTTCATTGAATTGGCCGAAATCGACACTTTCATTAGCACAATCATCCAATAATTTATATTTCAAAACGAATTTCATTTTATTGTATATGTATTCGAATGTATTTTACAGCCAACGGCGAACGATGCCATTTCAATTTGTTAAGTCTTGTTGCTGTCTAGATGTAATAAACAATTTTTTTCTTCGGTCTGTACATATTTAATTCGGTTGTTTTGTTTTTCACTTTACCGCAATGCAAAATCATATGCAATATCCTGGCGATTGTTTATTTGCTCTCTTCATGGGCCCGACTCGATTAATTCTCGGCTGGTTTGCTAGTCATGCTCATCGCTCATATCTCTCGTTTTTTCTTTTCTACGCTCAAATTTCTTGTTCGGCTGCTTGTCTAGATCGAAATGAAAAATCAAAGAACATAACAAAAGAGCCACTTTAATTAAGAGAGGCGTCTAAGTGAACATAAACTTTTTCTATATATTTTTTTCTCGGTTATTTGTATAAATAATTTACTGTGATGAATCACCATTAAAATATTTCATATTTTTTTGTCTTGATTGTGATTCGATATGTAGGCACACGGTGTTGTTATTGTTTTTTTTACAAATTCAAAAATTGTTTTGGCTTAAATTCAGAGAGTACGGATGTCTTGAAATTGGCCATGCAATCTTGTTGCATTTCGATATCATAAATTTTGCGAAAAAAAAAAGTCATTTTATGAGTACCAATTGATGTGGATTTGATCATTCATTCACTGTAAATTGAATCAATCGTATACATATATATTCAATGTCGTCTCTGTGTGTGTGTCTAGCAATATCATGTTATCAGTTAAGTGGTGTGTTTAAGATTACTCTAAAAATAGTCAAAATTTGGCAAACATTATAGATGATCTCTTCAATGAATATGCATCATTTCGTTTTCATTTTAATTTAAGCGAATGAATTCGTGTTGTTTTATTTAAATCATCGACAATCATCTCTTTGATCAAAATTTTAATGCTGCTCTCAGATCCAAATCATTATTTGATTCATTATTCGTGCGAACGAACAAAATTAATGACTTTCGCTTGCGAAATATGAATCGGAAACCAATGCAATTGCATTTAATGTTGTAACATTTAATTCAAACTTCAAGATCAGGCTTTCTATCTATGTCTCTTTTTCACGCAAAAAAAAAAACCGCCATAAAAAATACACTTAACGATACACATAAACAAAATCCATGTACTTGGATTTATGGCTGCTCAAGGTGATTCTTTTGAAAGTAATGAATTCGTTTGATCATACCCAATCAGACTTCTTACGCTGATTCATACCCTCTTTTCTTTTGATTTATCTCATACGATAAATATACGAAAAGAAATGAATGCCATTTTTCTCCTTCAAAAATGAGGTAGGCTTGTTTGAAGAAAATCGGATTTTTTCGTTTTCATTTCATTGAAATATTTGCCATTAACGACATATAATTTAAGGTAAGGTGCCACTTCTGTAACTTACAATGTCATCGATTGTGTTTGTTGATTGTTTTTTTTTTTCTGTTTGCGTGTAAGTTAATCAATTGGTTGCTGATGAGTTGTTCGCTTATGATATTTCCGATGACATATACTCATTTCAATCCGAATTTAAAATGCCTACTCAGACGTGTGTATAAGATGCTTTGTTTGCGATAGAAAATATTCGATTTTATTTCATTTGGCTGAGGTGATAATTAGGCCGGGGTTTATGTATGAAGAAAAATGTTTGAAATGTGAAAAGCTTACATACTGCACGGTTGTAACATTTGGAACTTTACATGTAAATCGTACGATTATACATACCTTATAATATTCACTAGTATAGTTCATTTGATGTATCGACAGATGGCGATTAGTTGATTGTGTGCGTAACATCATTCATTCTTTTCGAAATGTGTGCATGTCAAATTACAATTTTTGACGTTGTGTTTTCGTTCCTAACTGATGTGCGTGTAAATTTTTGACTCGAAAAAGGAAATCTTGTTAAAGCTGAAATACACATTGATGCTTCAGAAAAATGAACGCCACCAAATTAAACCAAATTAATGAGCTTTAAAAACAGCCGACGCAAATAACATGAAAACATCTTGATCGCGAATCCTTGTAAAATTAGTGTTTGCATTTTAAACGGCGTATAAGAAAAACAATGTGAAAAACACTCCGTTGCATCCAAAGCTCTAGACAAAATTAAGTGCTCTTCTTCATTAATGTTAATGCGTTGTCCGATACACTTTTTACATTAAAACATCCAATTCTTTTTCATCTTCTCGCATTAAAATACTTTTGTATTGAAAACACACGGGGCAAATAAAAATAACAAAAAAATGAAAAGCACATATCAAACTATACACGATAATATATTTTTGAAATGATATAGCGTACAACACACCATTGTTTGAACATTTCACGCGATTATTAAATACCGATTAAAACAAAATAGTCAGTCACTTGACAATGACCGAAAATACATAACAAATTTATTTTTTTGTTGCTCAACCGAAATGTAAACGGAATAGAATGGGCCACGAAAAAAACGACGATATTTTTTTTTATTATTATTATTGTTTTGCATAGATGAAACAGAAAGAGCGCGAATGACAACACACTGTGTGGCTGTGTAAGGGAACACGGAGTTAAAAAGAAGACGTCACACGGCTGAACAAAACAACAATAGCCAAAATCCTGACAACCACACATCGAACGTGACAAACGAACGAACACACAAAACCGAAAATTTGATATTTCTTGCATACAAAAGAAGCATTTTTTTACTTTGCTTTTTTTATTCATTCCATATTATATATGTTTGTTTCGATTTTTCAGTCGATGCATCTCATTCACTCTCTCGCACACATTTTGCAGTAGTGTGAAAATATTTTCATTCGGATTTTTCATACTTTACATTTTCTTTTTCGTTCTTCGCATTTATACAGCGCATGTTTCTAACACTTTGATTTTTATCTTGGTGTATGGTATTTTCATACACTCATACATACACACACATACTTTTCAGCGCCGTCACCGTCGCAGGAATGAAAAACCACATGAATCGAAGTGACGCGATGTGCTCAGTTGTTTGTGTATGTGCTTAGACGCTTATTCGATCTTCATAAAAATAGCATGTTTATATTGTGTAAGCATGTGAAATAAACGAAAGAAAATTGCGATACATTGCACGAGTTTTCATTTCATTGAATCGAAAAACGTGTGAGTGTGTATCGCTTTATGTGTTCCATTCGAATGCTTTACATGCTCATTTTCTATATCGATGTTCTCAGTTTTTCTTTTTGATGGAATTCGATATGCATTCATCACAATTCCCTCATGAAAATGTATTTAACCGGTCAACCAATTCGAAGAGCAACAGAGCAATGCAACGAAGTAAAAATAAATTATTTCTACTAAACCGAAGTTTGAATAAATGTTAAAATAACTTATTTTAATTGGGTTTAATTTTTTTTTTTTTTTTTTTTGTAAAAATGTCTTTCAATCGATTATGATTGCTTATAAGTTGAATAATTCATTCATATTATTTTCACATGGGTTTTCACATATACAAACAACTATTTATAATAATATTCGGAATGATCACAGTGAATTCTTTTCGAATTGCCGTTTCACGTACCAAGCAAAATAGCTGACATTCATTTGATTCATTGTACGAATGCGCAAACATTGACCAACGAGCATTCAGTAATCATGTTGACTCTATCTAATCACACAGAAAATTCGGATAAAAAAAATATTCGTAATACATATAAGTAAAAGCACCATGATGAGGTTTGTGTGATCATATTACTATGTATTATGATTTCGATGTGACCATTAAACTGAAGAACATTTACGATCACTTGAACGAATGGCACAACGGCCAAATTATATAATAAATGAGCCAGAAGTACCAACATAAAAATGAGCTGAAATAATATTCTACTTTATAATTGAATAAAAAGTCTTACACTGTGAGACGAACTTTTCCGCCATGTACATCATGAGATAAATATACAAAAACAACTCAATTCACGGCAGACGTTTAAACGACCTCAATAACCGTTTTAAATGATATTAGACCATGATGGACCATGATGGCCGGCTTGGGGTTACCCACGAACTCGATACTAGAAAAACTAGAACATATTATAAAGATGTGAAATGTACATGTTATATGGCGTTTTACTAGAAATATTAGAAAAAATTAGCACATATTAGAATCCGTGGTTTCCCCCTCGTGGTTAAATGGTGTTAAACCATGATGTCTGACCAAAATTATCATGTTTATTGGTCAAAAGATCAAAAATAATGTGAAAATTGATTAAATAACCGTGTTGAATCATGGCAGACCATGATGGCCAACATCAAAGATACCATACCTCTCTAATTTTGGTCGAGGAATCCAAATTTGACCATGACAAATTTTCACATCACCCATACAAACTTTTCAAAAATAAAAGTTGTATGCACTATAAGACCATGATAGAGTGGACCAATTTGGTTCAAAATCTAATGGTATCTATTCCTCAATATTCCAAACCATCCTATAAAATCAGATTTAAAAAAACTATTATGAGAAAAGAGATAATGGGTGAACAAAAACGGTCACGTACAACGTACAACGTGGAACAGACCCACATCAATCTGGTCTCATATCGAATATTTTTCAATCCCCACCCCAGAAAAGGTCATCTCTGAGCATTTTGAGAATTTTTATTTTTAGGCAGAGATCAAATTTATCCTCAGGTCAAATGAATGGTTGAGAATAATAATGAAACTTAATTTTTGTTCAAACTGAAGTGTCATTCCGGAATATTTCCAATAAAAGTGTCCCAAGTTTGTATATACAGTGAATCTAATTTTTTTGATAGACAACATAAAAGCAAAGTAAGCAGAGAAACTCTCCACTAACATAGGATTCATATACGAATGGCGTGTGAGTGGAGTGTGTCATGCAATATTTTGTCTACCTAAAATATTAGATTCACTGTAGTTTGCCATATAAACTTGGGACACTTTTATTGGAAATATTTCGAAGGGACACTTCAGTTTGAACAAAAATTAAGTTTCATTATTATTCTCAAGCGTTCAAATATATTCTCTGTCATTTGGCCGGTTCATCAACAAAATGAACGACAGTACCTTTAGTCTTATTTTCACCGTCATTTGGTACGTTTGTCGCTGTTAAAATCATTTGCATTGATAAAAATAAAGAATTTTCACCTTTGTATTTGCATACAAATAAAAATGAAGATTCATAAAATGTCAATCGTTTTGCCATTTCTATTAATAAGTATGTGATCTAAGAAGAAGAAAATGAAAGCTTGCAATACAATTGCCAAATAATATTCCATTTTCTATCCACACATCAATATATTTCAGCACCAATTTTCGCTCAACTTTTTTATCCAAAGCATAAGACCATCAGAAAATTTCATCTCATCACATCCCATCGGGTAATTGTTTTAATAATATTTTATAATAATGTAAATTGTGATGATTTAAAATGCATCCAGGCAAATTGGCACCAAGCGTTATTCGATTGCCGTTCGCTGAGCATGAATTTGGTTAGTATTTACTCCAAAGAAGAAAACGATAATATTGTCCAACAAATTAAAGATGGAGGTAATAATCTGGATACAAACAATAACTGGGACCCAGTTACTGGGTGTATAATATAATATTTATTCAAAAAAAAACCATTGCGAGTAGGTTATATAAAGGAAGATTTTTGGACATCGGGAACAAAATTGGGCAACAAAGATAATACGTATCGATGGATGGGCTCTGGGAAGCCAGTGAATTTCACTGATTGGGCAGTTGGTGAACCGAACGGCAGAGTTGAGGAAGTAGCGTGTATACATTATAATAACGATAAGGGAAACGCACAGAGCGATCAAAAATGGGACGACTATTCTTGTCATAGTAAATTTTTTTTTATTTGCGAACAAGAATTGATCGAATATGAATATTGTTCAACTTAAATAAAATGAATGATTCGGTTACAAATGTAAACAAAATCGAACAAACACATTTAGTTCGGAGAATATTTTCAATAAAAAAATTTCGACCGAAAAAAAATTGACAAAATTTCTTCGAATGAGGCAGATTTGCTTATAACAACAGTCTTATATAAACACAAATTGGATTAAATTATAGTTTGAATTCAGATAATTTTTTTATTTATTCAGTGCTATACGAGGAAATACAATTGATGATTTGTGCATTTCAATAAAACATAATAGTGTCGAATTAAAAAAAATCGATTATGAGTTGATGACAACGTAATATTTGGTTTGTTTGGCAATAATATTTTTGCAAAGTAAAAATTACATATAATTCAGATAATAATCCAACTCATGACGCACGCCAGGCTTTAATAGCAAATGAGATTCATCATATGATTTTTACACCGAGAAATCATTACAGAAAAACATTAAGTATTTTACACAAAAATCAAAATAAACTTTTAATGAACTCTAGGTAGAGAGATAAGATATGATAAGATGGATAAAATATTTTTGAAATCGAAAAACTTTTTTCTCGACTTCAATTTTCCTCTGAACAAGCCATCTAGCAAGCCTTAAATCGTTTCTTTAGTAGAAAAAAGATGGAAATTCTATGATAGTATCAGAAAGTTTGTTCAGGTAAAGTAAATAAAGAATTATATTTTGAGTAAGCATCTGATTTTGTGAGAAATTTTTTATATGTAATTCCAGATGACATTAAACAGTTTCGAAAACGAAACATTTTTATAGGTAAATGTAAAGAGCATGTTGCCAAAAAAAGAGCGAAATAAATAATAATATGACATTTAATTTGATTGAGAACATACATTGACAATGTTTTCTCTAATTACCAATTAATAGACTGTTCCTACAGATATAGCAACGCTATTGTCGACACATTCAACGATACAAAGCAGAACGAAGTGCTCGCACTATAGAACCTATTGATTTGTTTATATATAAATAATTCAGTTTTGTTCAACACTTCGTTCGGAACTGTATCGTAGAATTCCGGCACTGTGGCAGTACATAGTGTGCACAAACAGTGCATGTGAGTAGAAACTATAAAAAAACGTTGATATATCTGCAGGGTCAGTCTATTCACTGCTAATTACCTGTGCTGATCAAATTTATCATCACAGATAAAGAACCAAAGACATGGTAAAATAACTACAATAAAAACCTCAATCCAAATGTGTTTTGAATGGACATTTTCCATTTTAATTGGTCCAATTTTCGAAGCGAGGTTAACTCATTAAGATGATGCCTATAGGCAACCGTTACAAAAAGGTAAACCAAATGCAAATTAGGCCTCTTGCTCCAAAAGTTGTTGGTAAAATACACTGTAGTGCCACTGATTTTGGTTTATATAAATTAAGAGACAAATTAATTAGTACTAACATATAATTATTTATTATTGACAAGTCAATGAATTCGCTTTCATTTGTTTACATAATTGACATTTTAATGAACATTGAACCTCGATTAAACAATATCTCTATCTTCGACACATATATATATTTCAGATTCAAAATTGGAACGATGTTTTATATATAGTGTCCGAAGAAAAATGACAATTTTGGAAAATGATACAACCTTGGTCAAATAAAGAATGAAAAAATCAATTTGAATCCATCGAATTTCGGACTATCCAGACTATATTGGACTGGAAAACACGCTATTAAAAGAAAAGAAGAAATAAGCCGATAATAGCAAAAAGATTTCAAATAAGCACAATATTGACGTCAAATTTAGAATCGGAATATATTAAAATGAGGTATATCAATATTAAATTATCAAAATAGTAGAATTTAAATAAAAATAAAGACCGACTGAAAATATTCCAAACTTTGTATGAAGCAAGCATAGAAATAAAGAAGAATGGAGGTGCCGTCGAATAAACATAAAAACTAGTCGAAAGTACGAAAAAAGATGTGGATAAATGGCACCACAGTTTAGAATATTTAAATCTATGATCTGTTGATGTGGAATTTTCGTCTGTCGTCTGTCATTTAGTATCAAATAAAAAACCTCTATCGAGGTGAAGAACGAGTGACGAAACACAAAATTTCTGATATCAATTTTGTGACGAAAATAGTTGGTAGATATATTTTCTGTGAACTGTGAATATAAACTTAATATACATTTGTATGTCAAGTGGATGTTCCTCGGTGTCTGTAGGGACAAAAGTCAAAAAGCGACTTTTGGAGGCCGGCCACGGCCAACATGGCGGCCAAATCGAAAAACGCCGGAGCAAAAAAGTCTTAGTTTTTTGTGTACTTTAATCACAGAAAGTTTCAAAAAGATCAGAATCGAGTACGCAAAATTGCGCACAGACAGACAGACATTTTGATTTTTCATGGAGATTCATATGAAATTTTTAAAATAATAAATTTTTCGAACGGATTGATCGATTTCGACGTTTGAGGTATCGTTGGAAAGGTATTGAGCTCCAGAATCCGTATATTATGTTTTAGGGGTCAATGACCTCATTTAGTGCCATCTATGGTCATGAAACTGAATTTTGACCCTTTTCTTGAAAGGACCATATTTTGAAGACGGGTGGACCGATTTTCAAACTTTGATATTATTTCTTGATCTATAGCCTAAGGGCTTTCCAACCATACATCAACCGGGGCCAACGGCCTTCTAGGTCTGGATTTCGTATATTACGTGTATATATAGCGAGTTCGACTTTTCAACAAACTAATGTGGTTTCGTCACTCGCGCGTACTGCCGTCCGCTGTGATTTCCAGTTAAATATGTATCATATAAAATACTGGCAACAAAATCACCGTAAAATATCCAATCACCCGTTCCAATTGCAACGAGAAATAATAGCGAAAAAATCCCATTGCGTGCGCCGTAAAACCATACAATACAATATTGTGTAGTTGTTGTTGTTGGTTTCATTCAAGCAATAAGCTGAAGCCATCAATGGGTTTCCCTGCGATGTAAACTCTACGAACCGGTCTTCATTGTTGACACTATACTCTTTTTGTTTTCAAGTGTTTTAACATTTGTTTTGTATTATTTTTGTGTATAGATATTCTTAACGTATTTATTTAGATAAAGTGATGGTTTTATTCAATTGGCGGTTTTCGTAGGCCACACCACGCTCTGTATACATACAATGATCATAAAATCTGACCGATGCTTCTACGATTTTGTGGTGTTTCACTGGTAACACTTGGCAATATATATATAATTTGCTTAATTTAAATACTAAAAATTGGATAATACACGAAAAATAAAACATAAAATACATAGACATTGACCACATGATGACACACGCACATACAAATCAAAGCCAAACATGTCGTTAATGTTATATTCTTGCCTGACCACTTCTATTCAGCTAGAAAGTTTTTTTTTTCACTCTAATCGCGCAATGTATTTCAAACTACTCAGACAGTGTACCGATGCGATCGTCCAGCACAAAACAGCTGCTTTTGCAGTGATCGCCACACAGAGCACAATTACTTGCGCAAAAGTGCGCCCGTTTTTTTTAAAGACACTATTTGTTTATCTGCACTTCGTCTCTGATTTATCCATGCGTTGGGAATTTGGGATTTAGTTTTGTTTTGTTGTTTGATCGTTAAGCTCATAAAAAAAATTGTTGCGTGTTCTAAGATGAAATAAAAAAATACGAATTTTTTTTTCTGATTTCTTCAAAACAGTTGACAGTTTAAAATTATTTAAAGAAAAAAAAAATACCTATTTGTGATCGTGCATATTTTTAGAAATTTTGTGAAAAAAATATATCCAAAAGCAGGTACAAACACACAATTTTTGAAAATATTTTTAAACTAAAGAAATTAAACAATTTGCATTTATCTTACATTCATTCATAAAAATGAGTTAATTGAACGTTTTCCTGTGTATGTATAATTATACCAAAGACATTGTAAGACGTTGCAAGACACGAGATCAATATCAAGGTTCAGTGTCAATGATGACTTCAAGTAAATTCAACAAATAAAAATGGTATCAAATGGCAGAAATGAAGGTCACCGTGCAATGAATTAAACCAAATTTTTGTTGTACCATTGGGCCATAATTTAACTAATAAGTTATGGGGATTATTACAATTTTAAGACAATAATCATGTACAAATTGACCAATTTAGATGGCGAAAATGCTATTTTAAGACAAAAAACACAACTATCATAATTGTAATGCATATTTTTTTGGAGGTTTTTCAAAGTATAAAATAACATGTGAATTGGTTTTTACCGTCATTTTAGTAAAATACGATCAAACACTAAGAGCATTTATTCAACTTCAATAAATTAAATGAATCACGACGTGTAAGATGCGATTATATCGTTCTATCAACGGACAAAAAAAAAGAGGAAGCATACATACAATCAGTTGTTAAAATCGTGAAAATAACGTCTCTTTTGTGTAATGTAATTACTATGTTTGTGCATAATTTACCATCAGTTACATTTGCAATATATATGCAAGTGAATTAATTTCGTAGTCTGACATTAATGAATTGTTGCAAATCTACATAGCATATATATATATATATCGCATTCGAAATGGATTTCCTCATTGTCTTCCATCGAGTGAATATTGCATTGAATGCCGACAACACTTTATATTGCTGTTAACTATTTCGAGTATTTGAAGTGTTTGACAAGGATTTATACAATGGAAAAACGTGTCTATCTTATGCACGCTGTATACTATATCATTTCACAATCGGTGTTCAGTGTGCAACACACCAATTTACAATGATTTACGCGCAAAGCAATAAACACCATAAAATCCATGCGGGAATTGACAAAATGCATTTGAATATTTATTGTTACTTTAGTAACTTCTTCAATAAGAACTTCTATTCGTATATTTCGATGGAAGGACAGAACAACCAATATTTTCCATTTAATTTTCAAGTAGAAAACAACACATTTGAATAATTACAATTCCGTGTGGGAAATTTTACACAATATCATTTTCATTGGAATTGAAAGGTAATAAAAATAGAATCAAATCCCGAAATATTATTATTTGTTTCGTGTTTATGTTACCTTGTGCCACAAAATTCGAATGCATTTTTGTCAATGGACGACAAGAAATTCGAAAATTGTAATTTACATTTTTGGTGAAGAAATTAAAATTTCATGCAGCCACAATTGATTTGTGCATTAGATAACTCATAATGACTATACAATTCGTGTCCTGTTACTTATTTCTCCTGATATTCTGTCCCTAAAAATAACACGAAAACCACTTTGGAAATCAAATGGACCAAATATTGACGTCAATTTATATATAGTTATAATGGGCGGTGAGAATCATGATTTAAATTGTAAATGGAATTCTCTCGCTCTGTCTCTGTATATCTCTGTATAGAACAGGTGTTGCGGTTAAGTGCTATGCAAATATCATTCACTTTCGATGAACACTTGATGCATTTACAAATTGTAATTAGCCCTATCATTAAAGTGCAACAATGAAAACGCCGTGCATAACACAAAAAATTCATCTGGCAATTGAATGATTCACGACTATTTTCAATGTGTTTCTCTCTTTTTTTCGATTTTTTTTTTTCATTACCTTTTATTCTTCATCGCATTTGTAATTTTATTTATTTATAAAATCAGTGCATTATAGACAGAAAATCACGTTTTCATTTTAATATATGTATTTTCATCGTTTTTGGAATGGAAACCAAGTGGCAAATAAGACCTTGAAGACAGCGTAAAAGTGAAAAAAAATGCTCACATTCTGACATTTGTATATTTCAATTAAATTTAGAAATAAGAACTGAAGTGAAAAAAACGTAAATAATAAAATAAAACCACACATTAATGCAAATATGCAAGATGTTTACTTTGATGAAGTGGTTCGCTTAATATGTACGCGTACGCGCTCATTTATAAACTCTGAAAACCAAGTCGACTCATTTTCAATAAATTTCTGTGTGACACTAACATGGGATTTGGTGTGTGCGCGTGTACGGCAATTGCGTTACCTTGATTTTTATTATGTACACATATAAGCGCATTACTTTTATTCTGCTGGTTCATCACTTAATTCTCGGCATGCATTAAGTTCGCATTTTATCTCCAATATTTTCTTCTAATGCCCCCTTATTTAGAAGAAGAAAATGTTGATTTCGAGTGAAGTTTCCACAAGATAGAATGAGGAAGTAAAGATTTTTTAATTTTTTAATTTTAAAACAGTCACTCCCAGAATTTTTTTTCTAGTTTTTCTGGTGTACAAAAATTAATGTAACCAGATTCTGCTATTTTTTTCCCGAGTGTTATGATAATTTTCATAAACTAGCAAGTGGGAGAGACCCCTTTGCGGTTTCGCATCACTTGATTCAATGCAGAAAATATTAAACTCATGCATTTATTATAATAATTATTATTATGGAGTATTGACGCACAGTGCGAAAAAATCCCGACCAAATTCAGAACAATAAAAATAATAAAAAAAAATCTGAAATATAATCATGTGCATTTTTTTTCTCCGTGTCTCATCATGTAAACATTGTCGAGCACAACACAAATTCCCAATTTAATCATGATGATCATTGATTGTTTACGCATAGATAACATATAATTTGCAATTGAATCCATGAATAACATTTTATACCATTATAAGTTTTGTTTTTAAATTTTCATTGAAATCCGCAAGTAAATCATCTTTTTGTTTCGTCAAAGCTCTCACATCGATTTGATGTCATCGAAATGTATGGATAAAATAAGCCCGAACGGCATTTATTGTTTATTAATTGGCGCATCGATTTGTTCATTACTAAATGCTATGTAGAATCATAGATACATAAAAAACCAATCCATGGCCGCATCAACGGTCAATTCTTTCAGCCAAATAGTTAAAACAATCAAATAATTAAAAATGATGCGATTTTCCAAATAACGATAATTATATAAGAACCATTAAGCCGGTGTCGTTCTAATTATCCAAATATATGTTTTTTTTTTTCATTTATATGCATTTATAGTTTTATAGAGATTTGCTGATTTATTGACCGATCGAGTAGCGTGGTTGAGTGAACAAGTAAAAGGCAACCACATAAACGATCTGTGTTTTTGAATAGCGATTTGTTTGTAGTCGCCAATTAGATATAGAGACATTCTGTAAATCGAATAGAGAGACGACAGCAGCAACAAAAATGGTGCAAAATGGGGACGACACAAAAACTCAGCAACAAACTGGCCTGCTTATTGAGCGTGAAATGTTTCTTGACAAAGCCGGCAAATATGAAAATCTTCGAATCGCCAAAAATGTGATTTTGATTGGAATGGCTTTTATGCTGCAATTCACTGCATTCCATGGCACAGCCAATTTACAATCATCCATCAATTCAGATGGTGCAGTCGGCGTTTATACTTTGGCAGCGATCTACGGCTCATTGATTCTATCGAATATTTTCCTACCTGTCATGGTCATCAGGTAAAAGCGTGCAATGTATATCTCTCTTCTCTCTCTTTTTTTTGTTTTGCTGTATTGGCTCGTTGGGCTTATTGAAGATTTTCGATTCACTGTGCATGTATGTTTTATCTTCTGGTTTTCTTTACAGAACGCTTGGATGCAAATGGACAATGGCATTATCGTTTATGGCTTATGTGCCGTTTATATTGTCACAACTTTATCCACGATTATACACAATGATTCCATCTGGATTAGCTGTCGGTTTTGGTGGTGGACCTCTGTGGTGCGCGAAATGCACATATCTGACGGTAATTGCTGAAGCGCTTGCCATTTTCAATGGAAAAAATAGCAAGTCTGATGCATTAGTTGTGCGATTTTTTGGGCTATTTTTCATATTTTACCAAATGGCGCAGGTTTGGACGATTCACATTTTTGTTCCGCAAGAATATTTTTTATTGAGTATAATCTTCTTTTTTTTCGCGACAGGTTTGGGGTAATTTAATCTCATCATCAGGTTGGTTGAATCAGTTGATTTCGATTATTTCGGTATTCATATAGGGAGAGACGAAAATAAATGTCAAACATATTGATACAGTATTAAATACAATTTAAATGAAATTAATTTTTTTGCTAATCTTTTTTTTAACCAACCATTCGCCCTTTTTTTGTATCGTTGTTTCGTTTCAAAGTTTTATCGTACGGTGAGCCAGCAATACAATATTCAAATGATACAATTGAAGCAATGGCATTTGAGGAGCTTAGTAAAAATGTGGCAAAACTTTGCGGAGCCGAATTTTGTCCGGGAATTACTGCGGCAAATAATCCAAATTTAACGCCGCCAGACAAATCAAAAGTGCAAATGTTGATGTTGATTTTCTTGGCGATGATGATTGGTGCGAGTCTTTTAATTGCGGTTGCTGTTGATGGTTTAAAGCGTTATGAAATGGGCCGAAAAGGCAGTGGATCGGAATTATCGGGTATTCGTTTGTTATCGGTGACCGTAAAGCAATTGATGCAAGTGAAGCAAATTTTATTACTACCAATCACAATGTTCATTGGCGCTGAACAAGCATTTATGGCGGTTGATTTTACATCGGTACGTGCAATCACCTACACTTATACCGTTTCACTCTCATTCATTCTCATTCTCTTCCTCAACATTTCTCCATTTCAATTTGGTGCTTACGATGCCAACACACACTGTCTGGTGGCCTGTGTAAAATCCTTTCGCAATTGATAAAAATCCATTTATCGCTCAAGTGATTCAGGCATAAAATATTTGATTGATTTTCCTACACCTTTCAGGCATTCATTGCATGCGGATGGGGAATTCCTCGAATCGGTTATGTGATGATTTGTTTCGGATTAGCGAATACGATTGCGGCAGCTCTAACAAGTTTTGTGGCAAAAATTGTGGGCCGAAACAAGATTTTAACGTTAACACTCGTTTTACATGGCACATTATTGATGTGGATGCGTCAATGGGCAGCTGTTCCAAACGATTTTGTCGCATACTGCTCGATGGCTGCCATTTGGGGCTTACTCGATGGAACATGGCTTGTTATTATTAATTGTAAGTATACGTACGGCAAAATGTTTGAATTACGTTTTTCTTACATCTTTATATATGAATGTTCGAGAATGAATGTGAGTCTTCTCCTGTGAGTTTATTGAAATGTAACACCGCCATACAAAAATAGCTGACAGTCAGCATTTTTTGTATGGCGGTGTTACATTTCAATAAACTCTCAGGAGAAGACTCACATTCATTCTCGGACAATCATATATATTTTTGTTTTTAATAATATTTAATTTGCATTTTCATATATTAGCATATTATGGTATACTATTCCGCGGTCAAGAAGAGGCTGCATTCAGCAATTTCCGGCTATTTGAATCATGTGGCTCAGTAATAGCGTACAGTTTAAGTCCCATGCTATGCGCTTCCACAAAAATCGAAGCATTATTTGCACTTATGCTGATTGGCATTATTGGGTAATATTTCGATTTTTTTTTTACGATTATCATCAATTTTCACTAGTATTTGTTTCGCTAGAAATTTTCTTACATATATTTATATCTATTTGCAGCTATGCAATTGTAGAATTCAAGAGAAACAACGAATTCCAAACGGAAGCCAAAAACTCAATGCCGTATAAACAAGCCAATGACGATACAAAATGTTAGAATTATTACATTTGACTTTAATTTAATGTGAAATCAATATTTAGGCATTAATATTTTGATACATTCTTTAGACGACAATAAAAACAACTAGACATTCCATTCAGTATTACCAAAAATTCATGATTACATATATTTAAAAAAAAAGAATTTTTTTAAAGCAAAAACATTTATTTTGTGTATATTTTTATTATAAAAATAAACGAAATTCTTGGGCATTGTGTCTAAAAGAAATGCATTTATACCGTGGATGTGTATGCAATTCAAATACATGTAGTAATAGATTTAAATTTAATCCACTTGATCTTTACGATTCAGTTCAATTACCTCGCGTTTTCCATCTGTTTTTAGGCAAACCACTTAACAATTTTAATTGGCTTTTTAAAGCACTTTTTCGCTTTTTTTAATCGACGGTAATGGTTGTTCGTTGATTTTATACTTTTAGTACGTGCCTCACTCTTCTCCGGTATTCGCATAATTCAATTTTACAGAATATAAATGGCATACTGAACTTATTAATTCCATCAGGTTTGACTAATGAATCTTGTAAATTCGTTGAAGGTAAGCCAGACGACATATTCAGAACTATCAAACGCTAACTAGATACACCGACCGCATTAATATTCATGAAGACAACAAATATGCATATTATACGCTCCAAATGAATGAACGGAACATAATGATAAATCGCGCGGAAGCAACAAAAAAAAGATTGTAGGCAAGTATTTAAAAAAAAACGTCACCTCCACTAAAGACTTGATGGTGTGGGTACTAAAGAGTGGAGCGATGTAAAAAACCCAGAACAAAATTCCAATAATGTTTTTTTTCGGCAGTGGCATCTATTGAGTAGAGTGAGAAATTTAACAAAAAATAAAAGATGCGTTAAAATGACTTCCGGATCATTTTACTTTTATGACAATTTAAAGTTTTATGGCAAACAAACGTGCAGAAATTTTCTGCATATTATTCAGGATATGATTTACGTGTGTTCGGAGTGATGGCTTTAAGTATGAGAAAAGTATCAGAAAATTTAAAAAAAATGTCACATATGCCATCCACACAGATTTCAAAGTTCACAAATTGGAATTCATTCAATGTATGAATTCGCTCCACACATAAATACATGGGTCAGTCGACTGCTCTTCAATTTACTTTAATATTTCCATTCGTATCTAATATTTAATCCCAATTCCATATAATCTGGCGGTATTAAGACGGAAAAGTAAGTCTTACGTTCATCGGTCCATTCGTTTTCTTCAATGATTTCGAACTTTTTTCTAAAGTTTTTCTGCTAATTAGTTCAGAGATTTGCTCACCTCTGGGCATTTCATAGCAACAACTTCATTTCACAAAGATTTCTCTTTCAAGTCAATCTTAAAGTTTTTTTTTTAAATCTCAGCACTGAAGGAAAATAAAAAAACGTCTTTTGATTTTAATTACTTTTTATTTATAAGGTTTTACTTTTGTTCTTCAACATTTATTTTCCATTTGTCTTTCGGTATATAATAATTAATTCGGTATATAATAATGGTTAGTCTACCATTAGCACCGATTTAATGGTACTCTCGTTTCTATGATTTATTAATACGGATTTGATTTTCGTCTAACTTTGTGTGTGTGTGTTTGTGAGTGTGTGTACTATTTAGTGTTTTGTACGCGAGATAATAAGTAGACAAATTTCATTCGAAACAAAAATGAAACGAATTCTATTTTAATGCAATTTAAAAAAAAACTCTAGTCTGTATGTTAGAAAACTGACACACCACAATCAATATACTATAATATGATTCTAGTCATATATTTCATCTTCTTCTTTGAACGAGGTTGTCCATGTAAAAAAAATGTGATATACGAATGAATTATGAACGATTTACAATAATAAATGTGAATGTAAAATGTGAACAAATGATGCAAGATGTGTATTAAATGACAAATAAAATGAAAATGAATTTCTAGAAACGAAACAATTCTCATACTTTCAAATCTATCTGGCTTAATTTAAATTAGAGTAGATATTTGATTATTTGCGATGTGAAACAATACATAAATCTAACATTATTAGTTATTCATTAAATTCTAATTAATGAATTTATTCATTATGCATCTCTTTTCAATTTGTAAAACGAATGGCAACTATTTCTAATTAATAAAAATAACTAAAAAAAGAATACGATGGACAATGTGCTCAATCAATGACAATATAGGAAACTTGTTGAGCCTAGCAACATGTTTTTCGGTTTGAATTTGCTTCTGATCGACGGTCGGTATGAGTGATTTGATTTTATTTGTTTCTTATTGATTCGTTGCTTTTCAGTCGGTTTGTCATCAGACAGTTTTGATGACGTTATACTCTATTTTAATTTTTGTATATATATAATTTGTTTTTTTTACTATACATTACACTGGCTTGTAAAACACAAGCATTTCAACACATTCTATATTATTCGCTTGCTCAATCACTATATAGGAACCAAGTGAGACTTGACAATTTCACTCGATTGTTATATAATAAAAATAAGTTTTTGTTATTCGGCCAATTAAAAATAATATCAATATTTTGGGAAACGAATCATCTCTGTATCGATCCATTCTCTCTTGATTTAAGGCATTTTCCAAAAAGAAGGCCAAATTTTCAATCGATGTTTGCGAATCGATCGTATCGCGTTCGATACAATATTTTTTCACACATATATCTCGCCGTCATAACCAACTTTAACATCGCTTGATGCCTCGGCCAATTTTTGTAGTGTCTTTTTGATACGAAGTGCTGGCAAACGCACATTCGCATTCGGATGCCAGCATTCACGCATTAACTTTGACATGCCATCCATTAACTGTGAAGAGAATAACGTAAACGAAAATAGTATTAAAAAAGTTTCTTTAATTTGACCACAGTACGTATGTAAAAAAGGTGATAACTTACGTTATCTGAACTCCATCGATTGGGTATTGACGGTCGATAGCTGTCTATCACGACGACTTTTCGCATATCCTCAAATCCAGGATCAGATGGCACAACGTCATAATATGGCACCTTATATTCTTCGGCAAAGCCACCGGAAATGGTTCGTCTGCACACTTCCCACATAATCAGTGCAAATGAGTATACATCGGCACGTCGTAGCGATTCAAAACAATTCAAATTTATGCTACCAAAGAGAAGACGAATTCATTATGTTAATAAAATAAAAGTTGATTTTTTTTTTTTTTTTTGGGTTTTATATCTAACCGTTGATCAAGAATCTCGGGACTCATATAGCGTTTGGTGCCGACACGCGGATTTGATCCAATGTCCAATGGTGCATTTGGCTTATGCATAACGGCCAAACCAAAATCGGCAATCACACACGTTCCATTTTCACGTACAAGAATGTTTTTCGATTTGAGATCACGATGAGCTATTGCCGGTTTTCCTTTTGTACCGAAAATTTCGTTATGCAAATGTACCAGCCCATTGGCAATGGACAGACAAATGATGGCCATGTCATGATGTGATAATGCTGAACGATGTAAATGATCGTATAATGAACCAAGTGGATAGTAATGTGTTAACACCCATAATTGTGTACTCGAATTATGTGATGTCATATCCGAACCAATATAGCCGAGAATATTTTCGTGTCGCAATAAAATTGTTGAATAAATTTCGGTTTCTCGTTTCCACGATTCTTCGTCACGGCTGGAGAAAATCTTAACGGCAACTTGTTCACCGTGCCAAATACCACGCCAAACACCACCATATCGCCCTTTACCAATACAATTCATAAGTGTCACTTGTTTTGATAGTGTTCGTTGAATTAATAATGGTAAACCTCCGCCCGATCCTGATGTCATCGAATGTTGCATGTATTCCTGCAAATTAAATAAACGACAAACAATTTTATTTAAAATTAATCCGTGGAATATATTCATTTTAAAAGATTTTTTCTTTTGTCATTTTTCTATCAAAGTTACGGTTCTTACCCTCAGCGTACTATCACCGGCACTTGTGACTCGAAGCAATTCATCGCCGGCATAGTATGTATCTTGATCGTGTTTGGTTCGGGACGGCACCATTCGTTTGTGGTCGGTTCGACGTCTTATGTACAAAACTACACAGACAATCATAACAATTGCAATGAGCGCACCAAACATTCCAAGTGTTAAAACAATGTAATTTCGTGTCGAATTGATGTGGGTCGCATCGTGATCGTCATTTGGCAATGGTGGTAATTCTGGAAATGTGCCATTATTACAATAATCACCAACACAACATTCAATATTATATTGGCCGGATGTGTCTCGTTTTTTTTGGCGATGATGAATGCGCATAGTTGTTACAGTAAAATGGCAAATGATCATGTTGTGTTGTACATCCACGTGAAACCGTTTCAACCCCAAATGCATCACGCACACGCGATTTCCAACACTAAAAATTCAGAAATACATAAGTCATTTTATTTCGATACAGTTTGAATCTGGTTGGGAATCGGGTCTCGATCAATAAATCAGATCATTTCACCATCATTTGCAAAGTGTTACCTGCAACGCATTTGTACAGATGTGTGACGCTTCTTCGGGTAAATTGTGGCAATCTGACGATTCACACACATAACATTTGTATCTGAAAATAGCGTTGGAAATTGAAGTAATTAATTTACCATTTCGACCATTATATAAAATAGAAGTTCATATAATAAAAATAAAACGGAAAACCAAGTAAAAATTATCAAAAATTCAAAACGAAATGGCTCGCACAAAAAAAAGTATCGAACGAAAACTACATCTAACAGAAAAAGAACGTGCTATATTGGTCTTAGGTACAAAAAAAGAAAACAAACAAATTTAAAAAAAAAACAAAGGAAGCAAAAATTCATACGACATTTTCCGTGTTTCGGCTATTTAAACACAAATCAAAAAAGTACAATATTTTTCTAGTCAATCAAGAGATAATTCACGCAATCAAAACAAACTAATGATTCAAGGCAATTAAATTGTCGTTCTCACAAACAAACAAAAATTAAACAAAAGACTTCAGAGATATGTATTTAACGGAGATTCGTGCATGTTTCAACTCAAAACATCATTAAATATGTGTTGGTGGGTGGTGGTGTTACCTTTTTTTCATACGTCGCTTCGTTTTTGAATGCCTCCTTTTTACAATAACGATTCGGTTTCATGTTTTCATGGATTTTTTTGGATTTTTTTTGTTCGTGAGTCAGAGATATGGAGAAAGAGAAAGAGAGAGAGAGAGAAGGTAAAGTAAATACAAATAATACAGGGTCAATTATGTGATCGATAATATAACTAGCGATTTAATTATCATTTTATTGTGGTTGGATTTCAACTAAACCCCTATGAAGATTTAAAATTCGCACAGTTCTAACCGTCAAATGAATTGAATCTGTTTTCAATAAAAGTTGTTGTTTTTTTTTTAACTAGCCCTACAGTTTCGATGAAGTGGAAAACGGAGGGTGGGATTTTATTGCTTACCTTATCGATTGGATTGTGTTCATCATACGATGATGTTGATTTCGATTTTGCATCAATTCCAAATCTGGCACAGTCTTTTCACGAATTTCCGAATTTGTATCGGTGTCCGCGTTATTTTCATCTGACTGTATCTTGTCTTTGATTGCCGCATTTGTTCCTACATGCATGGATTTTTTTGGGTAAAGTTATTTTCATTTAATAATTTTATTTCATTTCTACGTAAAAAATAATTTTTGAATGAGCTGAATTTCTTTAAAATTCATTTAAATATTCTTCAAATTAATTCATATATTTGCAATACTAAAAAATGTTGTACGAAATTGGATAAATGCCCAATTATAGTACTTTGAAGATTTTTGAAATTTTCTTTAATTCTTTCCATTTCTGCTGTTTCATTTGAGTATCAAATTCAACCAGTCGTAAGGAGCTGCAGCTTTTATGTGTTTAAAAATATACCAATGGGTTTGAATCTTGGTCCGAAAATAGAACTTTTATTATAGAAGCATCAACAAAGGCAAATTTATTATCAGTCAAATGTTTGATGGAATTTAAGAAAAAATTTCATAGTTCATCATATTTGCTTTGTAATGCATTTTTCAACTCGGATAAATATAAATTAAATTTTATCACAATATTTTAAAAGAATGAAAGATTTGAACATTGATAAAATTAAAAAAAAAAAAAACAATCAAAACTGTTGAGATAAGTGAATTTCCGTCACATATATTTTTTTTAATTAAAAGTTCAATACAAACGAAGATACACTCGGATCCATGTTTGTTTACGTTTAGTTAAGGTTGAGAATTGTTTTCGGAATGTGACGCGCATACAATCAGAAGACACTTTCGTACACACATAAATACACTATATCAAAAAGAGTTACACGTAACATGAATAAAAGAGGAATTCGGCGCGTTCTGTGTTATGCAAGTGGATTTATGCACATTTTTTTTCTATATATGTGTGTGTTTTTCATTTTACTTCTTCTTTGTACGACAAGTGCCGATACCTAATGTCGTCGGTGCATTTATTAAACATGGCAATAATTTTACAAAAAATAAAAATGTTCGTGCGATGAGTTTCGATTTTTCTACTTTCAAAATGCATTTTCAGCAAAAAAATTTTTTTTTTTGAACGCTTCTCAATTCTTAGTGGTTGACATGAAAACAATTCCAAATACCTATAGTTAGTTCATTTGCATTGTGTGGTAGCTATTTAACATTCTGCTTGTCGCTAATTTAATAAAATGATACTCAATAAACAAAATGTACACTCGATCGTGTGTTCTGTCATTACTTTTTCAATCTTTGGGCCTATCGAGAGGAAGAGAAAAGCGTTTTTTCAAATCCGTCTAGACATCAGACTGGCTCCAATTGATATTTTGTCTACACAGTGATATTTATGTGATATGATTGAAAATACGATCAACGCACACACATCCCAGCATATACACATTAAATCTTACTGGTACAAAATCGAACCAAAAAAAATGTAATTCACTTGCATTTCTTCGTTTGTATTTTTTTTATCGACACCGAACATAAAATTCACACAAAATTTAATTCACTTTTTATGCATTGCTCCATGGAAATTTCACTTTTTTCAAATAAAATATCAACACTTACCCTGACAAATCGTCAAAAATAATATAAATATTATCGTCTTCGGGAACATGTTGGTCGCCATTGTTTTCGAAGTTATTTTCTTTTGACTTCTTTCCACCTTCTGTTTGTTCGTTTTTGTTATTTCTCTTTTTTTCTTCTTCGAGATGTTTGAGTGTGTTGGTGTGTGCGAGTGAGTGTGTGTATGTTGTATATTCCATTCGATGCGATGACATTTACTGTGCGTTGAATATAATGACCTGCGGATTAGTTTTGTAAGTCTGTGTGATATCTATGCACTGGCGCCATTGTGTTGAAATGAGATGGATATGTAGCGTTGTAGAATGTGATCTCTTTCGGTCATCTGTCATAAAAGCTCAAAACTGGTCCGATGGAAATGAAATGTCAGACTTTTGATTCGGATTTTACACAGGCACACCATGCTATTTGACATTTTTTTCTAACCAATGCAAAGAGTAATTTTTTTGTTGTTGGTTGATTCACACACAGTTGCCATTCATATTGCATAAATTGTTGACGATAGTTTCCACTTAAAATCGGCACGATTCAAGTGTTTTTCACAACAATGTTTCATTTGAAACGGGCCATACGACCATTTCAATTGTGTTATGCTCACATTAACCGAGCACGAACAGTTACAACATGGTCACATTTGGCAAATCATTTTAATTCCAAACCTGAAGATGATCGATGGAATTTTTTGAAATGTGAACGTACAGTGAGTACAAATGCACTTTTTACTATCAATTCAATGAAACACATCCGATTACAATCTGTGTGGCACTATTTGTATTTTATTGTAGGGTCTTCTGGATTTTCCGGAATTACATTCGCACGAAGGTTTCTATTTACTGCAAGAAAATGTTACAAATCGTTGCAGTGAGCTTGTCGACGAAATTATTTCGCCGAACCGACAACGGAAAATGGTCGAAGTATTCGATGAATTGTCGAATACATTGTGCAAAGTGGCCGATATGACTGAATTCATTCGATATGCACATCCATCATCAAAATTTAGGAATGCAGCCGAAGAAGCATGCTTTGAAATTTGTAAAATTGTTGAAAAGTATGTGTTGACTTTTTTTTTCAAATGTGAAATCAACATCTTTGTCGTTTACATTATAATTTTGTGCTCTGAAAATCATCTTTCAATATCTCTTTCCGTTTAGTTAATAGTTTTTTTTCCTTTGTATTTAACACAGACTCAATACGCATAAAGGACTTTATGAAACACTAAAACGAGTCTCAGTAAATGGTGATCATTTACCAATGGATGCACTTGATAAGGATGTTGTCGACTTATTTCTATATGATTTTGAACAGAGTGGCATTCATTTGGACGAACAGGCGCGTAAAAGTGTTGTATATTTAAATGATTGCATCTTACGAATCGGACAACGTTTCTTGGCTGGCGCCCTGAAACCGAGAACTGTTTCAGGAAAATCATTGCCTGATAATGTTAAAAAATAGTATGTTTTGATTACATCTCCGAAAATAATCCACATTCACTAACAAAATGTGTCTTTTTGTTTTTACCAGTTTTACCGCCGACGGTGATAATTACCTTGTTTCAAGTTTATATGCCGATTCTGGAAATGCATTAGCGCGAGAGATGGCATACCGATTGTATTTGTATCCAGATGAACGGCAGCAATACCTACTAACCGAATTGTTGAATCATCGGCATGCATTGGCCACGGTTTGTGGATTTCCGACATATGCACATCGAGCGGTGAACAATAGTACCATCGCAAATCCTGAATTAGCTATGGATTTCTTGAATGTTTTGACCAATAAACTAAGGCCATACGCGGAAGCTGATTATTGCACCATGACAAAAATGAAACAATCCGAATTGGGTGGTAATAGTGTGTTGGGGGCATGGGATACCGCATATTATACGGGCAAATATAAAAAAGACTTTTTAAAAGTATCATCGTCAGAGTTTGCGCCATATTTTAGTTTGGGCGCATGTATGGAAGGAATAAATAATGTGGTGAAGGCGTTGTATGGCGTTTACTTTGAATATGAGCACATACGAAACGGTGAATCGTGGGCAGATAACATTTATAAATTGGCTGTGAAACATGAGACGGAGGGATTTTTAGGGCATATTTATTGCGATTTTTATGATCGTCCAAAGAAACCTCATCAAGATTGCCATTTCACATTACGCGGTGGTAAGAGTCTGGGCCGATTCACTTGAAAATTGCTTTTCTATTATTATTTTTTTGATTATTCGTTCTTTTCTTTTGCGATTGTCCACTTAGGTAAGAGTCTACCAGATGGAAGTTATCAGGTGAGTGAACAATGATAATTTCAGATTTGAAAATCAAAAATATAAAAAAAAAATTTGCCATCTCTAACTCTTTATCCTTTCTAGAGTCCAATCGTAGTAGTTACATTAAATTTAAATGCACCACGGTGGTCGGGTCCAACCCTGTTAACACCACCTATGGTTGATAATCTCTTTCACGAAATGGGTCATGCGATGCATGCAATGCTTGCACGTACAAAATACCAACATATCTCTGGAACGAGATGCCACACCGATTTTGCCGAAGTGCCGTCCGTGTTAATGGAATATTTTGCCAGTGATCCGCGTGTTTTACGAACATTTGCCCGCCACTTTCAAACGCATGAACCAATGCCCGAATCGTTAATGAATCGATTGTGCATTTCAAAGCATTTATTTTCGGCATCGGAAACTCAAGTGCAAGTATTTTACTCAGCATTGGATCAAGTATATCATGGAGTGCCAAAGGTTGATGAAACTACTACAACGACAGATATTTTACGGCAGGTTCATCAGCAATATCATAGCATACCATATGTCGACAATACGGTAAGTATTGTCAATCGAATTTCGATTAAAATTAAATTTGAAAAAAGAAAACTAAATCCGTATCCTCGTTGTCAATTTCAATAGGCTTGGCAACTACGATTCTCGCATTTAGTTGGTTACGGTGCAAAATACTATGCATACTTGATATCACGTGCAATAGCCGCATCAATTTGGAGTAATTACTTTGAAAATGATCCATTTAGTCGTACGGAAGGTGAACGTTTTCGCCGTGAGTGCTTGGCACACGGTGGTGGAGTTCCCTGTAAAATTTTAGCAAAAAATTTCCTACAACATGATATCACATCGGAGTATTTGGCTCAAGGTTTAATCGATGACATCGAACAAACGAATGAGAAAATTCGAAAATTCGGTGCTGAAATCGGTTATAAGCACAAGTGATTTAGTTAATTTAAGTTACAAATTTCTTTATTAACATTTTAGTTAACAATTGTTTTCCGAATAAAATTTGACATTGAACATTTGAAAATATTGTTTGCTGCTGAATCTGTTTTTGAATGAATAAATCTTCTTATTCGCGGCAAGTGTGACCAATAATAGTGGTTCAGTTTTCAAACAAGACATCATTTGACAGCAGATGTTTTGCATGTGCCTGCTACCATACATGCCGGACTCTTTGTGTTTTAGAGCAATAGACGGAGGTGAGTGTGCATGTATGTATGTATGTGTTTGTGTCAATAGATAAGTATTGCCCGATGTAAATGTCAATCGTATATGAAACTGAGAAGAAAACCGAAGCGATACACACTTCATCAAACATACCATATAAACGAAAGGGAAAATCTTATAAACTCAATTCGAATACACCATAAAAAAAAGGAAAAGAGTCAAAGAAAACACGGAAAATAAATTGCGCAAAAATTTTGTTTGTATTTTATAGAGACAAGACACGCAGATTGAAAATTTCAATTTTTTGGCTGAATAATAAATTGAAGTGCGAGAATCGTGGTGGAGAGAGAGAAGATAAAAAAATATATAGAAGAAATAGTGCTTTAGTAAAAAAACAGAGTGGTTGCATCTCGATATGGAAGTGGGTGAGAGTGGTGAGAAGCGTCCAAATTTTTCGGCGATAAGCAGCAACAATGGGCCGCTAATTAAATTGCCAACAAATAGTTCATCAAAACCAAGCGATATTCGAAAGCTTGTCATCAAAAATTTCAAAGGTAAGATCTCATCGATGTCCGTTTTCAGTACGATGATTATTGTTTCTATTTGTACAATCTACTCGCTGTTTTGAAATTTATCTCTTATAGTTGTTTCTTTTCTTTTGTATATAAATCCGATCGAATTAATTTAGCATATAAAAGCGTGCTTTGATACTGATTGGTGTAAGTGTGTATTTGCGGCAACGATGTGATTCGATTTGTTCATTTGTTCGCTATTCGCTTCATGCAATGTATTGGCGTTATGATTAGTCTCGAAATTTCACGATGAAATTTTAATATATATTTTTTTCGTCTAATTCGTGCAATTGGAATAGAAAGAGTCGAAAATAATCGAAATATGAATACAATATTACAGCACATTGAATAAAGTATGTGCAAAAGTTATTTCGTGCCAACTAAATGGGTCCTTGGTCAATGCTAAGTTGCGCATACATAAACACATCCCACATAACCTCACATTTTCTTATAAGGAAATGTTTGTTTTGAGCTTGTTTCGCATTCTTTTCTCGGACTCGTTTTTCTTTTTTTTATCTGTTAATAATTGACAAATTGTACAATCTTTTCAAAATATTCCAGTCGATCAAATTGCTTATGCACCCATTTATTTGATGAATCATCATCTTCATGTATTTCTTTTTTAAATATAAAAATATTAACCAAACACAATTTTTGTTGATAGTACATCGAATAATGCTCAATTGCTTACACAGCACTTGTGTTGATTGGCCGGTTTGCAGCGTAACAACAACAATGATAATATGAAAATTAATACCGAAACCATGCTTTGAATTTAATTCGAGATTATTTTAAATAAAACAACCACAATTCATTCAAATTTCGTGATGTGCGATATTTATATATCATCAAGGTTTCCGTGTTTTGTCTTTTTTATTTAATGCGTTCGAAATGCATCCGAAAAAGATCGTAGTCGCACCGGTTTATAAATATAAAATGTTTGAAGTAAGGAATCGCATTGAAAATGAAAAATAAATGAGAAGAATGCAGCAAAATACCTATACGCGTGTGATCCATTGCATGTCTAATGAATTTTTACCGCGTTTTGTTGCCAAACCGTTTCAAATAATTTATAAATCTTTTTTTCTGTATTCACTCGGCCCTCGCACAATTTCTCATTTTTTTTTCTCTCTTCTTTTTTGCGTTGTTCAGTTAAACCAACACTACCCGATAATTATCAGGAGAAAACATGGGAGAAATTGCAAAAGGCTGTTGTTGCAATTCAAACATCGAAATCGATCGAATATTCGTTGGAAGAATTGTATCAGGCTGTGGAAAATATGTGTAGTCACAAAATGGACTCACAGCTGTACACTAAATTGACTGCCCTTACCGAATCACATGTTAAATTAAACATCAAAACATTTTTCGCCGATACAAATGACAAATTGGTTTATCTGAAGAAAATGGACGAATGCTGGCAATCGCATTGTCAACAAATGATTATGATTCGAAGTATTTTTCTATATTTAGATCGAACATATGTATTGCAAAATCCAACCGTACACTCAATATGGTAAGTTATTCAATTGATTTTGCATAAATAAAAATCGTGTGAGATTTTATTTCGTTTGATTCATTCACAGGGATATGGGATTAGATCTCTTCCGTAGTCATATTGCGATGAATAGTACTGTGCAAAAGCGTACCGTCGATGGTCTATTGATGCTTATCGAAAAAGAACGAAACGGCGATGCTGTTGATCGAACGTTACTAAAAAGCCTTTTGCGAATGTTGTCCGATTTACAAATTTATCAGGATGCATTTGAGAATAATTTCTTGGTTGCAACAAAGAATCTATACCAAGCCGAAGGACAAAAGAAAATGCAAGAGCTTGAAGTGCCCGATTATTTGCAGCACGTCGATAAACGATTGGCCGAAGAAAATGAACGATTGCTACACTATCTTGATCCAGTCACGAAGTATGTTTCACACTATTTCTATTAACCATGTCTATTTCGTCTCATTGTTATTTTGCTAAAAAAAAAATTTAGGCCTCAATTAATTTACACGGTGGAAAAACAGCTATTGTCCGAACATTTGACTGGAATTCTACACAAAGGATTGGAAAATTTGTTGGAAGAAAACCGTCTCAGCGATTTATCGTTATTGTATTCGCTATTCAGTCGTGTTAAAAATGGATTAAACGAGTTATGCGTTAATTTTAATTTATACATCAAGGTAAATTTGCTTTTCATCCAAATCGAACACAATTACATTACAGCAGCTCGTATTTATTTTTATTTTTTTATTTTTTTTTTTTAATAGAAAAAAGGTCGTACGATCGTCATCGATCCGGAAAAGGACAAAAGTATGGTTCAGGATTTGCTTGATTTCAAAGATAAATTGGATAATATTGTCCGCACATGCTTTGAACACAATGACAAATATGTGAATTCATTACGTGAAGCATTCGAATTTTTCGTAAATCAGCGATCAAACAAGCCTGCTGAACTAATAGGTACGCCGTCCACATTTCTTTAACTAAATCAATCAAAATTGATGTTTGTTCTCTCTTTTGTGCAGCTAAATATGTTGATATGAAATTACGATCGGGCAATAAGGAGGCGACTGAAGAGGAATTGGAACAAATATTAGATAAAATAATGGTATTGTTCCGGTTTATTCATGGCAAAGATGTGTTTGAAGCGTTCTACAAAAAAGATTTGGCAAAACGTTTGCTGGTAGGCAAATCGGCATCAGTCGATGCTGAAAAGAGCATGTTATCGAAATTGAAACAGGAATGTGGTGGTGGTTTTACATCGAAATTGGAAGGAATGTTCAAAGATATGGAATTGAGTAAAGATCTTAATATAGCATTTAAGCAGCATTGCACCAATTCAGAACGTGAATACACGTCAATTGATTTAACTGTAAATATATTAACGATGGGCTATTGGCCCAGCTATCCAGTGACGGAAGTAACGATGCCAACACAATTACTAGAACTACAATCCGTTTTCAATAAATTCTATCTGCAAAAGCATACCGGTCGAAAATTACAGTGGCAACCGACGCTCGGCCACTGTGTACTGAAAGCCACATTCGATCAAGGTCCAAAAGATTTACAAGTTTCATTATTCCAAGCGTTGGTTTTGTTACTCTTCAACGACAATGACACACTCACATTCGAGGAAGTTAAAGCTGCGTCTGGTATTGAGGTATTTATGAACGAATTTTCAAAATTACTTTTATCGACATTTTTTTAAATTCCTTTAGATTAACAACTCTTTAAATTGTTTGCTCTTTTTTTTAAACCTACAGGATGGAGAACTACGACGAACCCTGCAATCGTTGGCTTGTGGAAAGGCGCGTGTAATCACAAAAGTTCCACGCGGCCGTGAAGTGGATGACAAAGACAAGTTCCAGTTCAACAATGAATTCACGAACAAATTATTCCGTATCAAAATCAATCAAATTCAAATGAAAGAAACCGTAAGTTACACTTTGCAACTGGAGATATATTTCTTTTGTCAGGCCTATTCCATAAACGTGTTTATTCTTTTGTTTTCATCAATTTGCAGACGGAAGAACAGAAGGCAACCGAAGAGCGTGTATATCAAGATCGTCAATATCAAATTGATGCAGCTATAGTTCGTATCATGAAAATGCGAAAAACATTGAGCCACAATCTTCTCATAAGTGAACTGTACAAACAATTAACGTTCCCAGTCAAAGTAAGTATTTTATTCATTCAAGAAAAAAACATGATAAAATTGTTTTAGCTAAACAAATATTGATTTGAAAATATGTTTGTTACAGCCTGCCGATCTGAAGAAACGTATCGAATCGTTGATTGATCGAGACTACATGGAACGAGATAAGGATAATCAAAATCAATACAATTACGTTGCCTAAACACATTTGATTATAAGCATCACTGACTCTAACAGTAGTTCTTCACCATTACGAAATAATAATAAAAAAACACACACAGAGATACAACGTTTGATATTAAATGGAATCTAAACGAAGAATCGAGTTTGAGTGTTTGCAAAAGAGATACAAAATAATCTTATCCAAAAGCCGTCTATTTTCCATGCGTTTATAGTGAATATACATCATTTCGGATTAGAAGAGAATGTTTTCGTAATTTACTTTATTATTAAACTAATTTTTTTTAAATATACGGCTTTTGGTTTTTGCTCACGCAAATGGTATTTTCGTGTGTATTTGCATGCATCTACACAAAATCACGTTCAAAAAAAAAAAAAAAAAAAAAAAAAAAAAAAAGCAAACGACGATGAAACCAGGATTACTCCAGGAGAATACAAGTACACAAAAGGAACAAACATTGCACGAAAATTTTCGTTTAAAATATCATATAATGATCGTTGATTTCGTGCTCAAAACCAGTGATTTTTCCATAAATAAACCATTGTAAAATAAACAAAACTTTTTTTTATTTTAAACAATGTTTATTATTTACGGATGATATAAGGCAATATTTTTGAAAATTACATTGGGGATGGCACCTATTTCTACCAATGAAAACATGGGCGAACAAATGAATCATTTTGTTTTCTTCGTACAATTAATAGAGAATATAACAGATTAATTGCAACACAAAAAAATCCTCAATGTATCATTTGAATCGAATGATTTGTCATGAATGAGGAAGCGAATTAAATCTTAAGAAGTAGCGAAATAAAAAAAGACTTTTAAGAATTCAAATGTATGGGTTTTATTTGAATGAATAAAATTTACATTTTCTTACCGAAATCATAAAGAAACGAAGTATATTTATTTATTTATTCACCGTCTGATCACAGCCTGAATTAATCACAGTTATTTTTTAAATGATCCAAGCGATGATCAGCAATATAAATGAGCCACCTGTTACCTGAAACGTCACATCTTCTCTGGGAAACTGTAGTAGCTTATAAATATGTTAAAGATATTAATTTCACCGTAGATCCAAAAGTATTGTATCACCTCTCAAATTAAATAATTTGTCCATGAAGCGTGTTGTTCATTATAAAAATTGACAACGTCTCTCATTGCTAAAAGTTTTTTGTTTCCGATCAATTTCGAATCAAGAAAATACAATAAGTATTTAAAAGTATTTTTCTTGGTATGTTCGTAGTAATTTAATCAACATATGTATATTCTTATATAAAAACTTGTGATTCTTATTTTCTTACCAAAGTACATAATCTCATCAAATTTGAGGAAATTTCAATAACAAAAACCGGTACTTCCCATAAAACATTTTCGATTCTCTCAAAACCAAATTTTTGCAAAAATTGCAAAAAAATTGAACAAAATAAAAGCCATTATTTTTTTTCTAAATCTTTAATATTTAACATTTGTAAAAAGCATGAGCTGTAAGACATTATTGTCACACAAAAAAATTTTCTTTCTAAAAAAGAATATCTAAATTAGTCTATTATTTTGGTTTTATTATGATTAATTAGTATTTGTGCGGTTTTTGAGATAAATTGAGGTAAATTTCATGTGATTCACACACTTTTAGGCATCAACCTCCATCCTAACCGGCAAAGAGTAAAATTCACGCGCACTCAAAGCTGCAGAACAGAGAAAAAAATGAATCAATTGTAAACCACCACGATTCTTCAAAATCTATACAGACAAATGCTTACCATTATCATAATAATCGTAAACCACAATGGACGCTGGTTTTTGGTCCTCAACAATATGCTCTCGGAAGCCATCAATTTTAAATGTAGCTGGTTCGGAGGAGAGATGATCAAAATAGAAAACGGCCACAGTGTCAGCGTTTTTCGTTTCGATGCGCTTGAGAATCGGTAGAGTTGACTTAAGTCTATTTAGCACTTCTGCATTGACAACGAAACCGCTTGGTAATTCTGCCTCTACTATCACCATATTCGAATGCTTCGATGAATCCTTGCCTTTGGGCGGATTATA